TGTGAGGACCAAGAGTTACAAGTGACTCCAATTCCACCTCCTGTGAGGATGGAGCCTGAGGCCCAGAGAGTGGAGCCCAGGCATCCTTGGCCAACCACAGGCAGGGCTGGCTCAGGATCACTGGTGAGCACCTTCAGAGCCAGCAATAAGCTGGGGCAGACTCTGCCGGCCTGGCTGTACACTGCACACAGCCCAGCCCTAGCCCCAGCCCCAAGCATGTGTCCTGCTGAGGTGTGTGTGTGGGGAGGGGTTGTGTGCACATGTATGTACATGTGTGTGTGCAAGGGATGGGTGATGCCTGCTGTTTGAACTCAGCTCCCCAGTTACTATGTGACATGGAACAGGTCTCTCTGTGCTCCGGTCCTTCATCTTAAAAAAAGCAAGTAACTGTTGGGAGGAATCCACATGATGACATTTCCTAACTGCCCACTCAACAGACTCGCATTCCCCACTAGTGGGATTATTTGTCCATTCCACTCACCAGATTGAGCTCTTCCAGGAGCTGGAAGCAGCCTTGGGGATGCTGGGAAGTGAATACATCTGCTTGTCTTAGCCCAGGCACTGGGACTGAAGGGTGAACATATTTTACTGGGCCTATGTCCTCATGACCAATGGCAGGAAGAGGCACAAAACTTCATCCTCAAATGCACAGTCCAGCACCAGCAGTGACCAAATGGATGTACTGTTGGTATAACTTCTGACGGTTCCTCCTGATTAGTGATTGATGGCTGGGCTCTGGGACATGGGCAGGAGTCCACTAGCAAGAGAAGTCAGGGGCAGTATGTGCAAAGGCCCTGCAGCTGAAAAGGGAAGCCCTAGGAGGTTGCAACATGGGAACTGAGAACAACAGCTGGAAACAGAGAACATGTACCACACAACATATGATGGGAAGCATCTGTGTCTGTTAAAACTGCTATTTTGATTGCTTGGGAGCTACCCCAATTTAGGGTGAAAACTGGTGAAGCATATTTCTGGATGTGTTTGAGAGCGGTTGTGGAGATGTGACCTTTGGATCTATATTTGGTCCCTCATACCTTTCTCTCTGGCACAATTTCCATGATGTTTCCTGGCCACCATCAACTAAGCATCTTTGCTCTCCCACGTTTCTGCCTTGGAACCAGCTAACCAGCAACCAGAAAGCTAACACAGCATTGCACACTGTAAACTTCGAGACTAATACAATGGCCTTTACTTGCACGCTCACTCTTGCTGTGGCGTGGGGCAGGGGTGCCGTAGGCCATTGAGTGGTCCAGGTGCGAGAGCTGACGGTCACTTGGATGGAGCCATGACTCTGGGAGACCAAGGGCTTACAGTGGCCTGAGAGCCCACAGAATACAGGTGAGGGAGAAAGGGGGTGAGGTGCTCCCTGCGTATTTTGCTGGAGGCAGAACTGTCACCAGGAATGGACAAACCTGCAACACTGGTACAGTGTGCGCCTCTCGGTCATTTTATCTTTCCACATCTCATAATCTTGCAGATGAACAAACTGAGGCTTGGGTTTTTGGGGGCCCCCTGAGGCTTGCCCTGGGGCTCTGGATCTGCCCACAGCCTCCCACCTGGTACCCAACGCAAGACGCACACATCTGGCCCCTGAGGCAGAGCCGGGGCTTTCTCAGGAGACGGGATGAGTAATTTTGATAATTGAATTTTTGAGTTAGACTTAAAATACAGCCAAGATTGAAGAGGCAATTTGGCAGAGCTGGGCTCCCCCAGGCAGGTTTCTCTGCTTCCACGAAGCCGAGAACTTATTAACAAGATTACTCTTCCCCTTCCACGGGCCATTTACAGGCAAGCAGTTCTCAGGCTTCTATGTGTAGGAATTCAATTGCGGGTCTCCAGGCCCCTGCTCTGGTCACTCGGAAACCAGATATCAGAGAGGCAGGGTGAGGACTCAGGCCTGTCGTGCAGGAGAGAAAGGCTGCAGTCTTTTACACAGTGCTGGGGTGGAGTGGGTGACATGGGGTCAGCACAATCCAGCCAACAGGCTCTGACAGGCTCAGGTTCAAATCCTGCCTCTGCCACTTAATTTGCTCATTTATGAAAAGAGTAATGCGTTAAGATTCATGAAGTGATGCAAGATGCAGGCTGGGGTTACTGGGATCCAGGTGGGTGCCGCCAGAGCGTCACAGGTTTCATCTTCCACCTCACGGCAGCTGGTGGACTGAGGCCCCACTCCCCACGTGGGCGAGCAGAGGCCCGGTGCCCTCCCTTTCCCCTTACTCTCTCTCCACATCTAGGGCTGCTGCAGCTGCTTCTCTCAGGTGTAGCCAATCAGGCACACGTGGTGATTAATTTCACTGACGAGAAATTGACACATTTTCTGATTCAGAGCCTCCTGAATTCAGCCGCTGGTAAAATTAACTCACCAGGGACAATGGAGCTTTCCCCAAATTGTCCTTATTTGCAGTTTGTTCTTGGCTCTGATCCAGCTCAAACAAACCAGGCTGCTCCTCCACCTCCCAGAAGGAGGGCCTTCACATGACCAAGGTTGAGAATGTTGTAAAATGAAGGATAAAAATGTATTTGTTTTGGATTACTGTGTTCCAGGAAAGCTGTGGCCAACCTGAAATGAACTGCCAGCTGGGCTCCCCAACAAGCCTGGCTTTAGCAACCCAACTGCCCTGGGTATACCAGGGGCTCCTCCCTCACCACCCCCCAGCCCTTGGCATGTACAGCTCCAAGTGCTGCACCCTTATCACGTACAAAGCAGGCAGCACCGTTGCCCTGTAGGTACAGCTGAATCAGGTCTGACTTCAGCCTGAGCATTATTCATCATGTGAACGGCCCACACAGCACGCATGCCACACACACCATATGCAACACGTGTTTGTGTCCACCTGACATGGCGACTCCAAAAACATTACAAAAACATGCCCAGGGCCAGCCCCAAAGACAGTGAAGACGAGTCACAGATTTTCACAAAGTTTTCTAGTTCAGCTTCCTCCAGATGTTGAAGCTCACAGGATCAGGCAAAAGGGTGATTCCCATTTACCAGATGTAGAGAATGAGGACAGAAACAGGAGACCCAGGACTGGAATTTGGACTTCTCAGCAGACTCTGCTTCCTCTCAGGCGGTCCATGACATGACTTCCAGAAAGGGAATTCCACATGTGACATCATGCCTGAAGCTGAGTTTTGTGGGCAAGTACGAAAATGAGATGCAGCTGCTCAAGAAGAAAGCAGGTGACAGGAAGCCAAGCAGACAGCGACCTGATACCTGCCCAGCTCCTCACTGAATGGATGGAAGTGAGGGACAGGGTGCTTGGGATGCACCTGTCCTGACTCCCCAGCATTCTGCTCACTCTGTCTCCAGCTGAGCAGATGTCACTTCAGATTGTCACATCTGGCAGCTGCAGGCAGCAACTCTATGGTTTAGAAGGACAGAACGGATGGAGGCCCAGCTCCACCACTGAAACCTAAGGCCTTGGCCCTTCTATACAGACAGAGATCCTGCTGACCTCCACAACCCTCCTAGGGTTCTGGGGCTCCAGCGAGGTGATGACATGGATGCCCGTGAGTCACATGGACTGAAAAATGTGAAGGCAGTGCCTCCTGTGATCAAGTCTCCCCCAGAGCCCGGTCTTGTGTGCTCAGCTGGGTACTGAATGCCTGGGGTTGCACTCAGCGGAAACACAAGACACTTCCAAGAGTTTGGAGACGCACACACACAAGGAGTGGCAGGCACGGATGGCAGGGGCATGTGAGTCAGCATCCCAAGGGCAGGGGAGACTTCGGAAGAACCATTCCAAGACAGCTAGAAGAAGGAAGGGCAGGGGGAGTATTTCTAAGATGGCGCATCCTGCCAAGACTGGGAAGGATGGCAAGGCCCTGTCTGAGCTGGCGACAATTCAGTTTAGCTGAAGCCAGCTGGAGTGTGAGGACACAAGATGAGAAAGGAGCCAGAGGGACACACTGGGGGTCCTTGTAAACCCTGCCAGAGGCCACATGTGGGCTGGAGGGTCAAGGATAGCATCGCTGTGGGGAAATGGGCTGCCCCTGAGCAGGTGCAGGATTTTGCTCAGCAATTTGGCTGCTGCAGGGCTGGCGTGGGAGCTGAGCCCAGCCCAAAGACGAGAAAGGTGCTTAGGCCCCGGAGAAAGGGTAGGCGGCCAGAGATGAGACTCTCTGAGGAAGCAAAGGAGAGGCACTGAGGCAGCAAGCAGACTGGGAGGCTGCGCCACAGGCAGAGTATCAGCATGCAGAGGAAGGCGAATGGAGGGCTCATCCACACAGATGCACAGGTCCCCAGAATAATGAAAGGAACAGGGACAGAGAGGGAGACTGAGTCAGGATCTGTGAGTGCCTCAGCCAAGGCCCATCCACTGGCCGGCACCTGCTCTTGGAGATCTGGCAATGGGCTTGGGGCTGTGAGGCAGGAGAGCCAGGCCACATGATACAGCATGTCCAAGCGTGGCTGGGGAGCCCCAGGTTGCTGCTGCCTCTCAGGGGTGCTTCACGCCCAGGACCAGACTCGAGACCCATCTGTGAATAGGGCTGTGCCCTGCTTTGCTTGCTTCTCAGGGACATGGTGAAGCCTGGACCACAGAAGAAGGATAACCAGGCATGAAAGCCGATGATGGGGCTGCAGCAAGTACATCAGCAACAGTGCAGACAGCTGCGGGGACAGCTGTTATGACCACTGGACAGTGCAAAGGCTAAGACCTAGCCCCACCTACAACTGGGCACAGGCTCAGTGCCCAGGGCCAGGCTGCACGGAGCCCATCCAACTGCGGTGCTGGCCAAGAGCAAGGCAAACCCGGGGGAGCTTGCAAAGCTGCCAACCAGCACAGCCTCAGCCCCCTACTCCTGGCCCAGACCCAGCACGGCAACCCAGAGTGCAAGGGCTTCCTAATGGCTCGTTCCAGAGCTTCTGAACCCTGGGGACAACCCCACGGCCCTTGAGCTAACTCCAGAGGAAACACTGAGGGAAGGACAGATGTCTGGGGCTAAGTCCTTCGTCCACCGCCAGGAGCCGCAAGGGAAACAGACACAGCGTGATCTTGGAGCCATAAGCTTTATTGGCTGGCAGTTGTCCTCAGGAGCCTGGTCTGCTGGGACTGGAAGCCCCCAGGTGGACCCTCCCGGGCCTGAGCTAGGAAAAATGAGGGAAAGAAAGGAGAATTTTAGGTCAGTGGAGGCTTTCTGAAGTGAGATCCCTGACAGTTAAAGACAAGATGTTATTCTGAGAGTGTTTTCAAAGATACAGTCTCATCAGTAAATGTTTGCAAAACACAATGACAATGAGATCACAGAGTGCTTGTTCGCTGGGGGAAGACTTAACAAATGCCTACTATGTGCCAACCACTGTTTGCTGTGCTTCTCACTGGTAAACACAAATCTAAAAATCAGAACAGCCACTGTGACAGGCATGATAAAATGGGAGCAGGGGAAAGGCAAAGGAGGGAAAAGGAATAAAAAAGCGGAGGAGAATAGAAGAAAAAAGTGGAAATTAAAGCTCTGTAAATGGAGAGGGGAAGAAGGGTTGAAGGGAGGGGAGGGGAATGGAGAAAAAGAGTGCAGAGGTACTACGTACAGGGACAAACTCCCCGTGAGGGATGTGATCACTGTATGTATCAAGAGCGCCAAGAAAATTAATTTTAAAAAATGAAACTTTTCATCTTCTGCTGGGAGAAAAACACAGCTGTGTTTGAAGGACATGTCCACTGGTTCTGCCTTCAACTTCAATGCTTTCAAAGGAAGCCATTCTGGCCCTGGAACCCCCTACCCACCTGGAAGGGACAGAAACTCAAAGGGCCATTACCTCCAGGTTTCCTCGGGCCTTCCGCAGGACTTTGTGGGTGATGACCACTGTGGAGAAAGCACAAGGCGAACGATGAGGCACCGAGGTCAGGTGACAGCCAAGCACAGGGAGGAAGAGCCCCCAGCAGGAGGGTCAGTCGCATGGACAGCCCTGAACACAGGGCCAGACAGAAGCACTCAGGGCCCTGCCTGTGCCATCATGTGCCCCATGGCCAAGACTCTATCCAGAAGGGTGGACCACAAACACCTCAAATCCTCACTAAGACATAGCCTCTCAGGGACACGGAAGGCAGAGCAGGCTATGCTGCTTCATAGAGCAAAACACCAAGGCCCTGTATCTCCAGTGGCTGCCCAGAGACCCCAAACTCACCTCTGTGAGGCACAGACAGCAGACAGGCCTGCCCTGTCAGCACGCAGTAGCACTATGGGAGGCAAACACTTGTGTGGAGCCATGTTTGACCCAGAGGCTCTTAGAGCCAGCTCCTCCGGGCCTGGGGAAAGCAACCCTGGGCATTTCTGTCTCTTCTGCCTGCCTCAGTCCAGTGTGCTTCCCCAAGGCCAGGTGCACCCTGCAGGAACAGGAGTAGGCTGCTGGTGGCAGGGATGCTGCTGACTGACACCCAAGCTGGGAGCTGTGCAGGCTGCAGAACTCGGGGAGTGCAGTAGGAGCACCTGCCTCCCAGGGAGTCCTGAGGAAAGGCTGCTGCCTCCCTCAACCTCTTCTTGACTTAACACAAATACAGCAGCGGCAGGAAGGACACTGCTCAAGGGGATGGGGCTGACCTTGAACCTGTTCTGACAAGTGTGGCAATGGCAGGAACTCAGCTCACTTCCTGAGTAGGGGCCTTTGGTCAGAGGTGCGTGAGGAAGAGAACTCACCCCAACACACACAGCCCAGCTCTCCAGTATCATTCAGAACAGAGGCCCTGTGGTGGCCTTGAAAATAGACATTTTCTTTTTTTGCAAAAATTTCCACATGGAGGTAACAAAATGTATTTGCAATCTGTGACACCAGAGAAGAGGGACGGGCAGCTGGGCTTTGTTTTTAACTGAGCAAAAGGAACTTCAGAAGAGCCCTGTGTCTCTGGGTCTCCATTCTCACCTCGGGGTGCGGAGTGGAAGTTAGTGTGCTTATCCTGGATGTACAGTGTGCAAGTGGAGAAGGGTGGGCATGAAGCACAAACACTGTGCCTCAAACAACGGAAACATTGTGCAAGTGAGATTAAGTGCCAAAGTAAGGAGGTTAAAAATACTCCTGAAACAGTACCGAATGTACCCAGAGAATAAAATTTACTGTTAGAGCCAAGGGTCACCTGGCCCAGGTCCTGAAGTGGCCCTTACATCTCAACAGCACCGCTCATGTTCTAAAGCACAGAAGTCCCCACTGCGATGAGATAGAGGGACAGGACAGCAAAGAACACGTTCCAATCGAGAGTAGCCCTAGTGCAGAGAAGGCTCACACCCAGAGCTGCCCAACTCCATCCAAGGCTCCACCTTCCTTGGAAGAAGCCTGCAAGGAAGATGCCACCTGAGTCACCCACCTGGCCACAGGCCAATACCCCTGAAAGCCCCCACCCCATGGGACAGGTCACTGCTGTCACTTGGCGAACGAGGACCTGAGGTGCAGGAGTGAAGCCAGTGGATCCAGGTCCACCACCAGAGAGGGTGACACTGTTGCCCTTTCTTCCTGGCCCAGCATTTCTAGGGTCTTTCTCAGAGGCACAGGAAATCAATGATTGCAAAGCACGATTTCCTCCTTAGTGACCCCCTTTCCCTACTCTCTATAGACTCTGGAGAGAGGTAGATAGTCAGCCCAGTCCAAGCATCCCTGCCCTCACTCATCTCCATCACTGTGTGGGGAATGAGAAGGAGGAAACAGGAATGCCACCTTCACTCAGTCATGTGAGGGTCAGAGCCGCCCTGGGAGGCTGAGAGGGGCTGGAGAGCCCACGCAGGAGGAGGACAGGCCTGGGAGAGCCTCTCACGTCTCCCTCAGTCAAGCCAGCTGCAGGTCAGGCCCTGGAGACAGAGATGGGAAATTCTACCAGATGCTTGGGGGTTCTTACTTTGAATCATTTACCATCTCTGTATGCAGTTTTCTGTCCAGACGGAAAGAAAGCAGAGAGATCTAGCATCTATCTTCCAAAATTCTGCTATGCTCTTGACCTGTGCTAAAAAATGAGGTGCTTTCTACACAGCTGGAGTAGACCCCAGGCTGTGTGGCAGGCCTCTGTCCTTCAGAAGTACTGTCTCTGGTTAGAGATGAAGAACTTGAAGCCCAAAGTCAAAGCCACCTGATCCAGGTCACACAGGAGAACAGAGCTCTGAACTGCGTTCATTCCTGACTCCTCGTTACCCAAGGATGCAGGACACCGCAAGGGCCCATCCTCTGTTCTGCTACAGTAATGACCTGCACGAACTAAATTGTGCCTGCTTCCACAACATCCTTTTCCAAAGACAAGGCTCTTGGTAGCTTTACACCCTGAGGCTGCTTGGGCTGGGCTGCTGAGCAGAAGCAAGGTCTGCTTTCCAGGACCAGGAGCTCTATAAAGCATCACTTCCCTCCTGTTGCCCTGTCTCACCCAAGTGCCCCAAGGCTACCTCAGCCAACCACAGTGGGCACTGGCCCCATCCCCCATCTTCCTCTTCTCTCAAGTGACATGAACTCCTCGTCAGAAGACCATGACATCTACCCCTCCATACTGAGAGGACCTCCTCGCCATCCTTTGAAATCGTCCTCTCCCCCTCTGCCTGCCTGGCCCTTCTGGCTGCCTGCCTGCAGGACTGTCCCAGTCCCAGGCCACAGGTCTCTTGTTGGCCTTCATGCTCAGTCACGGACCCCTAACACACAGATGAGCCACACATGTCCTTGCTGCTGCTCAAGTCCAGCCCACAGGCTCCAGGTAACCTGGTCCCTGGCATGGCCTAAGCATGCCGAGAATACTCACCACTCTGGTGCTTCCAAAGTGGGAAGCCACAAGGTTTTCCTCTGCAGGATCGCTTCCTGCCCCTCTGCTATCTGAATGACTCCTACCTAGCCTTCAAGACCCAATCAGTCTTGAGCCAGAGCCTTAAGCAGAACCTGGAATCCCTCTTAGGCTTCCCAGGATGTACTTAACCCTATAGCAAATCTTTGTGCCTTGATAATCCTCAGTAAAGCCCAGGCTCCTCACTCATCTCTGTCCTCAGGCCTGGCATGGGGTGCAGGACAGGTGTCCAGGCCTGTTCATGACTCAGTTTCTCTCGCTAACAGTTCAAACTCAGCCAGTCTCAGAGGTCTGTTTTCAGAAGATTCCTGGGGAGGGGTTCACTAAGGAGAAGACCTTACTTTGCAGTGAGTGATTTCCTGCATCTCTAAGAAATACTCCAGACTTCTGAAGTTGGAAAAAAAGAGCAGCACAAGGCTGCTGGCACCTCAGAGAAGCAGTGCCCCAGTCAGTGGGTCTCCCAGGACAGACTGCAACGCAGATGGGGCAGGAAGGGCGATGAGCCTAGCGGCACTGAACACAGAGGCTGGGGGCGCTGAGGGCCTGCTCCCACACACACACTCTGAAGCAGCAGACCAGAGCTAGGCCTGACCTCACAGAGGGCTTAGCTTCTCCAACTGTGAGCTTCTGCATCTGCCTTCTGGATTCCCGGAAGCCACATCGATTTGGATGCCATGGCCTCTGCCTGTGCTTCCTACTCAATGGTGGAACAGCCATGGTGAGCCTTTATCACACACAGATGTGACAGGTGGATCCCCGAGTCTAGTTAAGAGCCACCTGAGCCAGCCACAGGAGGCCTTTTGTAACACAGTCCCCAGTCCCTGGCCCCTGCCCCACCCTCTCAGCTGCCCACAGGCAACTTCCACTTTACTACAGTCCCAGGGACAAAACTCAATTTCCTGTCTCTAACCCTGCCTTTCCCGGCCTGACAACACCTACTCCTCCTTTCAGACTCACCCAGGACGCTCACCTCCCAGACCAGAGTGACAACCACGCCACTCCCACTTTGTGCTCCTGTGAAGCACACACCTCTCCCCCAGCAAGAGGACGGTCTGTGGCAATGAGCTGTTCCTCTGGGTATAGTCAGAGAAGACAGGCCTGTGCCGTGCAGAAAGGATGAGATACGAAAAGAAACCCACAAACAGGATGCGTGATCACCAAGGCTCTGAACCCAGAGGGTAAGTAAGGGCCGGCCCTTCAGCCCCCAGAGGCGAGAAGCAGCAGACGCAGCAGACACCTCCCAGGCACCTACTTACACTGGTCAAAGATGACTTTTTCCTGGTGCTTGCTCTGCTGCAAAAGCTTCACAGTGTTTTCCAACTTCTTCTCTTGTTCAAACAGTTTTTTATGTAGTTTAGTGATCTCTGCTTTCATTTCTCCTATCTAAAAAAAAAGGGGAGGGGGATTAAAAAGTGAACTAAGAACATAAAACATGAGGTAGAACACAGCAAATTTGAACCCTGTCCGGGCAACTTAGTGACTTAGGAAACCCTGTCACAAAATAAGTAATGAAGGGCAGAGGGTGCTGCTCAGTGCAAAAGCCCTTGGTTCAATCTCCAGTACCACAATCAGTCAATCGATCACAAATCACACAGGAAGAACCACAAAGTCATGTCAAAAGACATCCAATCTCACTAGCAAAGATATTTGGGGGAGCTACCAGAAATCAAACCCAGGACCTTGTGCTGCCAGCCCAAGCAGAGATATTTTAATAAAAACTGGAAGCCTTTTTCTGCCCTTCAGATTGACCAAACTGGATAAAATCCAGTGGGGTGAGGAGAAAGCAGTTTGTTAAGCACTGGTGGGACTAAACTAGCATGGCCTAGCCAACATGCCTGGCAGCTCCACCAAAATGTAAAAGCACCTGGGCCCGTGACTCAGTGATCCTACACCTTGGTACCTGGTAACAACAAGAGCACAGGAAAATGCCTGTGTCCACGATGTTAACCTTGGCATTGTCAGTGGTAGGAAAAAATATGCAACCTGATTTGTTTAATACAAATCTCAATAAGTAATGGTACCTAAAAAGAAAGGAATAATTTTGCCACTATTAAAAATGATGTTTGGAGCTTTACTTATTATTATCAAAAGATGATTATAATGACAAAAAGATCCCAGAACACAGACTGCATACTATATCTATGGCATTCCTGATTCCTATATATAAACATATCTATATCCATTGTGTTTACTGAGATGGCAAACATGTATAGCACTATCTCCAAAAGATCTGATTTCAAATTGCTTGAGGTTGTGACTATTAATCCTGATATGTCATCACTGGACAATGTCTAGCAGAATGGTAAAGCATGGTCCTGGATGTATGGGTGGATCATGGAGGTGTGGCCTTGGATATTATATATGGTCCCTCTTATCTGTCAACTCACATTCTAAGGAGCCTTGGCCTTGAGTATCTGATCCCCTGCTGGGGTACAGAATGAAGAGCCCTTTGTCCTGGGAAATGAGATGCAGCCATGGCCCAAAAGAAACTGGTTACTGCTTCTACCGCAGCAGACCTTGGTGTCATCTTCATGATGCTAGTTTTACCAGCACCCAGAATGTAACAGTGGGGAGTTGGGGAACTTCCCCTCAGATTTCAAAGGAAGGCATAGGGGACCAGGCAAAGAACCCCAAAGAGGAAGCTGTGAGAGTGAAGCCAAGGATGAAGCGGGGACCCTAGAAAATTGGAGATGTCAGGAGTATAGTAAGTCTGCTGAGGAAAACTGCAAGCAGTGTGTGCAGCCAGCCCGGGGGAGGACACGCGGGCTGCAAACAGCAGGGCACAGGGTGGGGCTGCCAGCTCTCAGAAGCCAGGCATGAAGCCACAGGGCTTAACGCTTGCCCTGCTAGGTTCCAGGCTTGCTTTGATCTGATTCTTTTCTATCCTCTATTCTCCCACTTAGAATGGGAATATTTACTTTGGATGTTGGGATTATGTAACTTTTTTAAAAATATAGGTTCAGAGCTAAGAATTTTCCTTGAGACTCAAAAAAGGCTTATGTTTGGACTTCTGGAAAATGCTGGAACTGTTGAGAATTTGGAGAAGAGATTATCCCATTTCTGGATATACTCAGGAAAGCTGTATTACATTAGTGGCATTATGAATTTATTATTATTTTTATTTGGAGATTAATTATGGTTTAAACAGATGTGTTTGGGTGTGAAATGTACAAGAGGTGGATTGTGACAGTTAACCCTGAAGTACCCACTTCACAGAGTTAAGAAATGCCTAAAGGATTACTAAAGCACGCTCCTGGGTGTGTGGGGCTGAGTCATGGAGGTGTGGCATTATCACTACATAGGGGTCTTCACCCTTTACTCTTGGCGCTGTTCCCCTGTTCTGCTTCCCGAGTGTAAGGAACTGAGCAGCTTTGCTCCACCCTACTGTTCGGCTGCGATGTCTCTGCCTTGGAGTCTGCAAGCCACGTAACAAATCTCCTGAAAATGTGAGCTAAATGAAACCTGTTCTTCTTCAGGCTGTGCATCTATAGTAATGCTTTAATTTTGTTTGCTAGATTCTACATGCAAGAAAACATGAGATTTTCTTTCTGAGTCTAGCTTATTTTGCTTAACAAAATAATCTCAAGTTCTATCCATTTTCCTACAAATGACATAATTTTGTTCTTTACCGATAATATTCAATTTGTATTATACTATCATCATTTTTGATAGCAATAAATAAAGCTCTACTACATTTTCTTATCCATTCATTGACAGGCACTTGGGTTGATTCCATAGATCAGATATTGATGAACTATGCCACAATAAACATAGGTATGAAGCGATCTCAATAGCAGGTGTCCCCAGGATCTGGGCCATGGGTCAGTTCACAGCCTATTAGGAACCAGACTACACAAAAAGAGATAAATGTGGACAAGTGAGCAAAGTTTGATCTGTATTAACAGCCACTCTCCATCCTTGCATTACTGCCTGAGCTCTGCCTCCCATCACATCAGCAGCACCATTAAATTCTCAGAGGAGCAGGAGCCCTACAGTCAATTGCACACTCAAGGGATCTAGGTTGCATGCTCCTTAGGAGAATCTAGTACCTGCTGATGTGAAGCAGAGTTGAGGCAGTAGTGCTAGCACAAAAAAATGTAATCACTATGTATCACAAACATATACTAATTTTAAAAAGAAATCTAACCCCTACCACAGAAATGGTCCCTGGTGCCAAGCAGGCTGGGGACTACTGTTCTATAGTATGCTGGGTTTAACTCTTTGGGGGTATATAGCAAGGAGCAAAGTTTAAGTCTTACAAAGAAAACATTAAAGTATTTTTTTAGAAAAAAAGAGTATGATCCATGAGATGGATCTATTTTAATATTTCAGAATGAAGTGGGGATGGGAAGCATTTCACCCCTCCAGTTCTCTGAAATGAAATGCACACACAGCAGAGACTCCCTTATCCAGCCCCAAGGCAGAGGATACCCTCTTTCTCTCAGCAAAACACCCTGTCACCAGCTACTCTAGTGAAATACCTCTGCTCCAAGAGACGTCATGTTGTAACTTTATGGAGAGTCCCTTTAGTTTGTTCCCAAACTTGTTCATGGCCATTGTACTTACAATCAAATTAAAGAATTTAATTGAATACTAAGTAAAACTATGAACTACATATATGGGCAGAGAACTAGCTGGATGAAAAGTAATATATACTTTAGGGAAGACTGGATAAAAATCAGTCACTGAAAAACATTTCTGGCAAATTAGGTGTGGGTGAGACAACTATAAAAGATGTGGGAGGAACACAGATTACAGGAATTCTATATTCAGATTGCTTTGTGAGTGTCTAAGATGTTTCTTCATCTTAAAGAAACAGAAATTAGAAGTGACAGACATACATTATGAATGTGGCTTATAAAAGAAAGCAGATGTGGAACTCCAATTGCAGACCCATATTCAAAGAAAAGGCCTGGCCCCACATCAAAAGAATGGCAAATGAATGTACATTTATCAGTTTTAATTTAAACTGAAGTGTTTAAGGTATGTATCATTTTTCGATTCCCTGCCTTAATCTACTTTTAAGATTAACCAATCATGCCAGGTACAAGGAGTTCTAATGGTTCTTCCAAAAAAGATCCTAATTTAAACATTAGATTTGCTTTGATTTTTCTTCTGCAAGCTATGAGTCTACAAAGACTTGGGTTCTGGTCATGGCTCCACTGGCTAACACTCCAGGACAAAGTCACTCCACATTCAGCCTTAATTACAAAATCTGTGACACTGGAACGGCAGTCTCTGACCCATCTATCACACTGCAGTAATGTGAGGCTTTCGTGCAGGAGATGGAGCTGGGGTGGGGGAATGATCACTGTACACCTGCCTCGCCAACTCCCATCCACTTTTCTACAGTCAGCTCAGCTCTGACCCACTCCAGGACTTACCTGCCTTCCCTTCTCCCCATCACTGTACTGTCACAGTGGCTGCAATAACTGGTCAAGTACTTGCCTGCATCAGTAAGTACCCTCTGATCACCCAGGCCTGGCTCAGGGCAGGTGCCATGACATCATTTGCCACTTGCAGGCTCATTTTCATTGCCATTTTCCTAACACCCTGGATATGTCCTGTCTAGCACTTGAAACAAGAAATTCTAACTACTGTATGTCTGCTGTTCCACTGGGTTCCAGTCTTCACTTATGCAGAAAGATACTGCAGAAAAATCAGTGAGGGCTCCAGGGCACAGCTCCAGCACATGCTCGCTGGGCCTTTTAACTCCCTAGAGTTTTAGCTCCACATTTGTAATAAAAAGAACACTGTATTATAAAAAAATTAAAAATACCACAAAAGGCATAAGGATAGTTCAAATGTCATTCCCATTTGTTAATTAAAAAGAAAAACACCTAACTTCCTGAGCTGCAACACGGGCAAATGAGACGCTGAGTGAAGCAGGGTCCCAGGCAGCCGACCAGCACTCACCCGAACCACCCTTACCAAGGACTTGGCACTGAGCTCAGAGCCTCCAGCCTCGCCCCCCGCCACCAGAGTTCAGCCTGACTTTTGGGTAGGTCTTTCTGCCTGTTTAAGACAAACATTTCAAACATTTATAACAATAGAAGTAAACAGATAATGACCCCTTGGCACCCATCCAGCCTTAGCAACGGTCACTTCAAACTATTTTGATCCACACCACTGCTCAGCCTCTGAGATAATTTTGAAACCAATTTAGAAGTTAATCCTGTTTTTTTTTAATCCATAAAATACTTTAGCATGTATCTCCAGAGAAACAAAAAGAGTGTTTTTTAAAAGCCCCAAAACATCATTAGCATATCTTTAAAAATGAAAGAATTCCTCAATTCCGGTAGAGCATCCCTAAACTGAAAGTCTAAAATTCAAATGCTCTAAAATCCTAAACTTTTTGAGCCAATGAATTTTTGATTCTGGACTTGTAGGTTAGAGATGCTCAACCTATGCTTAAACTCTGAAAAAAAAAAAAAACAACAACATAAAACCGTTTGCTTGGTGCAAGCATTTCAAATAGTGAATACACAATCTATATCACCAAATATGGAGTCAGTGGACATATTCCTCTGATTTTTTCATAATATTAATGTTTTAAAACAATTGGTTTGAGTCACAGGATCCAAATAAGCTTCACATTTTACATTTATTATCTCTTAAATTTCTTCTGGTCCAGTGGGTCTCGATGCCCCAGAGAAGGACTGTAAATATAAGCTGCAAGGGCCACTCCTAGAAGGGCTGATTCAGTTGGTCTGGGGCGAGTTCTAGCATTGCGACAAGTTCTAGGTGGCAATTTTCAGAGCTCATACTTTGAGAACCACTGTAAATCTTACAGGCTCCATCTCCACCTTGCCTTTTTCCATTCTTACCAAGAGAAAATAGGTTCTGAACTCAAAATTACACATTTCCTGTCCAGATCTAGCGTCAAGCCATTTCTCCAGCCATGTCTAGCCCCTTTTAGAGGGAGGAGGCACTTGAAAAGCACAACTTGGTCATTAGTGGTCCTCACTGATACTGGGTCAAAATTTATTTCTTCAGCCTTTTACATGGAATGAATCAGTAAATTTTTTAAAATCAAAAATACATCACAAATTCCATAGTGATGTTTACAATTCAAGTTTAAGATTACATGGCTTTCATTTCTTTGATTTTATATTAATATCTCTAGTCTCTAACAGTAAAGATCTTGGTCCCTAATAAAGTTATTAATCTTATAATAGAAATATAATAGTTTCAGAATATCAATACCAATATTATCACTGGAAAACATAACCACTGAAAGCAGTTCAAAACACTTTTTGGTGATTCCTTTTACTTTGGAGAGTTTCTACCAGGGATGTACAGTCCACTCATCTCTCTGTGGCCACCTTATGTGGCTGTTCCTGCAAGGTCACATACAGTAAGGCTATGGCCCTTCAGATTCTGTTACTCTTATTATAAATATTTGGAAATGGCTTTTCATTCTATTTTGATGTGTTTTGTAAAACATGCGTTATGTAAAACATTTATACAGTTTCAAAATAAACCCACAAAATGAAGTCTATTTGGAGAAATTTAGCTTTTATTCCTTCCCCTCCAATCTTTTCTTTCACATCCAGGTACACAGCCTGTATTTTTATTACCCTCTATTTAAAAGTATGCATGTATTCTATGCAAGTATGTATCTACATTTGTACCAATCTACACCACTTTCTTAGATAAACATGCACATGATGGATACTTTCTAAGCAGTCCTCTGGACTGCATGGTATGAGACATTAAAAGGAAATTTAGTAATACTGGTAATAAATGGCAACTAATTAAAAGCCAATGGGGGTTGCTGCTGAAAACTTGGACATTTGCTTTCCACAAACTTCACACCAGGCCACAAAGTCTGGTTTACATGTACTTTACAACAGGCCAAAGGTTCCAGGCATACTGTGGGATAAAGACAGAAACACTGCAGCGAGGACTGAACACTGAATATAAACATGTTAACTGAAACATCACATGAGGCAGGTACTAGAGTATGGGAGAATGAAAAGAAATTATTCACTCATCTGTTTACACAGAATTCCACTCAATGCCTCCATCAGCTAAAAATGATTTTCCTGCACAAAGAAGTCAGGAACTAAGCTTGGTGTACCCAAACTGCTCCCCAAGATCCCACGAAGGAAGCTCAAGATAGGCTCCTCACGAGAACATGCAGAGCACAGGGGGCTGCCTCTCGGAGAGATGTCAGAAGGGGTGCAACTAAATGGAGTAATGACTCAGAACTCACACTTCCCTTCTGCCATCCCATTGGGTTTTGGTCAGCATTTATATGAGAGATGAATAAAGGAGGACATCAGGCTACCAAGCCGAGAATTCTAATTTCCTACACCTGCACACTGCTCTAGCAGGGAGCTCCGTGATTAGCCAGCCTGGTTGTGCATCTTGTCACAACACACATGGGGATCCCACAGATGGGAAGCTGAGGCAGGACTCTGCCTGCCTGGCTCTTACACTGAACCCATCACTCCTAAGTAGTTTAAATAGACAGGAACATGGCTCCCTAAAACCCAATGAAAGCTATCGACAGGGGTCAGAGGGTCCAGGCAAAGACATCTGAAGTGCCAGAGACTGTGAGTAGACAGCAGGAGCTGGCCCATGAGGGCAAGCAGACCTTAAAGCTTGTAAAGTGAAAGCACACACTCCGAGTTCACAAGCTTATGCTTTCCAGGCAGCTCACAACCCTGACCAGGTACCTCAATTCAAGCCTCAGGGTCCCTGGGTGTGCAGACAGAACCCGACTCACTCAAGTGCACCAGGAGTGGGGCATGCATGCCAGGGCTGCAAGGTGAGCTCTCGGGGTGCTGGGGGTTCGATAAGAACACAACAGAGTCATAACAAACTTCATGCCTTCCCCTCCCTCTGACACACACCCGCATTAAAGGCAGCTGTGGGCAAGCCTGGGCTGGGCACAGAGGGGAACATGACATAGGCCCAGGGGCACCCTTGTACCACTGAACAAAGTGTCACTACCTACCTGGCCACAACGGAACGGGCACTGGCCCTCTGTTGGGAGGGAGGCTCTCCAGAGCAACTTCATGGACCTTGAGGCCTCTTCCAGGATCTGCCTGGCCATGCTCAAGCTGGAGACAAACTTGCTCAGAGACGCCGACTCCGGACCCTGCCAGGAAAAGAAGCCACTGGATGAATTCTTGAAAGAGATTCTGGACAAGCAAGGTCTCACAGAGGTAGGGCTTGTGTTTCCTATGCTGACCAGAACCTGGTGCCATACCACACCAATTAGTTGCTCTGAAAGATTGGTGAACTATAGAGTGTGAGGGAATTTTGGTGGTGAGTTTAGATGAATTAACAACCGTCATTAATAATCACCAGCCTTAACTCTTATTACTGCTACTCCAAGGACCCACGCTAGAGCCCTTCGCACCACACCACAGCCCACGGAGCCCCTCCAGAGCCAATGATAGCAACAGCAAGGGCAACAGTAGAAATGCTTTTGTCACATGATGTCGGGCCTTGTGAAGGCTCCCTCCCATCTCTGCTAGCAGCAAACTCACAGTGGGGGCAGAAAGGTCATTAGAAAACAGGCTGGCCTCAGAGAAGGGGAAGTATCGAAGAAGAAAGAGGAAATTAAAAGAGCATTTATCTTCCCAAGAAATAAATATAGAATCACACATCCTTTCTAGGTATCCAACTGACATAAAATCATAAATAAAAATACTCAAGACTAAGGTGCAGTGAGATAATTGCTCATGGACAGAGACATAATCTTTTTGGAAAGTAATGTGACAAGAGCTGAAAGAGTTCACAACCTTTGAACCAGTAATTCCACTTCACACCTAATCGAAAATATGATCACAGATTTATGAATAGGGAGGTTTATTACAGTTCCTACCTCCAACAAACTGTGGAAGTGTGAGTAATGGTACGTTTACAAGTCAGGTTATTAGCAGCGAGTGAAAAAGTGCTACAAACACACTGAATGAAAGTACTAACGCTTGTGAGTTCAAATAAATGAAAGTAGTATATTTCTGAGTATGTTTGGTAAAGTTTATGAATTCCTTAATATATATATATACATCAAAATTTTAAGTGCTGGCCCCTAAGAGGTATTTTAATACATTGTATTTTTAAACTTTTATACAATGTCTAGCTTTCATATAATAAAGATTTTGACCAAAAAAAGAACAAGATCTTACTAGTATTTATTAACTTAACAAATATTTACCAAGCACCTGCTCCTAGGGTCTATAGGTAGTAGCTATACAACACTGAGCAGAAGAGACACTACCCCTGCTTCCTTGAAGCTTATTATCTGATGGGATATAAAATGCAAAATTTCCTTTTACAATAGTAAAACAAAACCAAAAGCCAAAACATGTATCAGAAAGTAGGGGTCTCAAGCATTCTCAGTAAAAAGACCTGCAAAAGACCACAACCTGTGACTCATGGAAGCCAAAGATCTGGGTCAGCAGTGGATATGGCCCAAGCCTGACTGCGTGTGGCAGCAGTGTCACAGCATACAGAGAGAGCCGCAGAGGGCAGAGAACCAAGTTCCCATGCAAAGCTCCAAGTCACGCCCTAGCATCTCTAAGTGAGAACAGATCATCCAGTTCATCAGCTTGTTCTGAGCAAGCAGTAAAAACCATACAAAGAGCTCCTCTGTTAGAAGAGACGGAGCCACCATGGAACATGAGGTGAGGTAGGGTATTTCCCAAAAGCAAGCCAATCACAAGTCATCTATGGAAATCACAGCATGATACGGGTAGACGTGAGCAGTGTGAGTGGTATGGTACAGGATGGCATGGTGGGGTGTGGCACAGGAAGGCATGGTACAGTGTGCTACGGCATGTGTGCTGTGCTGCAAAGTGGCACCGTATGGTGGGATACGCTTCGTGAGAATCCAGGCCTCTGACTTCTTCACAACAGCCAAAGCATATGAGCACACAACTTGGCTGGGCAGCGGACAGGTGGACTGGATAGATGGATGGCTAGACACATAAAAGGACCAACAGACAGGAGGGCAGATGAGAGACTAGAGCAACAGAGGCGCTCACAGAAGTACTACAGTGGATCTCCGTGGAGTAGCTACAGTAACACGGCACAAACCTCACCGAGCTGTTCTCCCACTACCAACAACAAACATCTCCTTGTACTCGAACTGACCTCTGAATTATTCTGGGCTACATTACTGGTCCCTCTTTTGAAGTTGAAACTTGCTTGTTTTTTCTTTTTTCTTTTTTTAGGGGGAGGTTTCTTTTCAAGACAGGATCTCACTATGCAGTTCAAGCTGACCTTGAACTTACTTTGTAGTCCAGGCTGGTCTCAAACTTGCAAAGATTCTTCTGTCTCAGCCTCCTAAGTGCTGATGGTGTGCGCCACCACACCTGGCTTTTTTGAAGCTTTACTGAGGACAAATGTACCATTTGTCTCCCAACCAACCTCCCCTGCCCCAACCACTTACTGCCCCTATAAAGCATCTCTCTTCCAGGCTTTCATGGTCAAATTACCTTTGTCCCCAGCTCCTGACTTGGGCTGGGAGCCTCGTGGGTTTGAATGTCAATCTCAGCAAGGAGCCTCTGGCCCTGGCAGATCTGTTTCCATAGGGCATCATAGTCCTCAAACAGGCCTAGGACATGGCGGCCACTCTTGCTGTGGCCAGTAACCAAGCGGGGCATGCATGAGGTGGTGGTTGCAGAGATGCTACTATCACAGGAGAGGGAGTCCACGTCATTTCCAGAGAGGGGTGGAATTTCTGAAGCTGCAAAACAAGAGGCAAAACATCAGATCAACTCAGAAGCAGTACCCTGTGTTCACAGAGCTTGCAATATTGAAGCCAGCAAAGAGGCTCAAGGGAGGCCTATGTGCTACCCAGCACAAGCCCAGAGGGGAAGAGCCTGGCTCCTGGGTCTCAGTGTATCACACCCCGTGTCAGGCTGATTATTCATCTTGTAGGAGAACAAAGCCTCAAGCCCATTTATCCAATGCTTACCACCCTCTTACTCTGCAGAAGACCCCAGGTGCATGAGATGAGTCAAGCTGGTCCACACCACAGGAGCCCAGGGTCTAATCGGAAACTGACACTGCAGGAGACATGCACAGTGGAAATCATCATATCCCAGAGAGAACGGTCCCCCAAGAAGGGAGAAAAAGGCTGTGGAAGGATCCCAGAAGTATCAACAAGTCAGCTGGACTAAACAGAGAGTCAGAATAACCCTAGGCAGAGGTAAAAGCCTGTTACCATTTGTCTTTGGACCCATTGAAGTTTGGATAACTAATTCTGACTGGGACAGCAAGAAACCCTTTTCACAGAGCAGTCTGCAATCAGGATGAGTGTTGAGTAGCAGGGTTTTCACTGGCAGCACTGAAAATCATGGCGAGAGGAAAGCACAGCCTGTCTGCAGGATGGTGACCCACCTGTGTCTACCCAGGGCAGAGAAGGCTGAGCAAGCCCACTGCAGCTGCACCCTGCAGGGCCTTGAAAGCCATATAAAGATGACCACACTTAGAGGCAACAGAAACCAAATGAAAATGCTGAGTTTGGGAACACCTAGAGAAGGATTAGCTGCCTTAAAGGAGGAGACTACTGCTGGAAATGCTGAGTCTCTGGGTCCAAAATCCCTGCCAAATATTTAGGTGGGACCAGGAAACCCTTTTGCCTCCATTTAAAAAGTTCTACTGCCATAACTAACACTGCGACAGATACCCAGGCTTCAGTTCTGTACCTGAATTTGGTGTTAGTGTTTGGGGAGAATCAAACAGATCAAACAAATTGTCATTTGCCATGGAATATTTGTCACCATCTACAAGATGCAAAGCAAGAGAAGGAAACAAGCTGTTAGTTTCACTATCATTAGACAGAAAAAAAAGAATGAGGCTACAGTAAAGAGTCTCACACACATACATACATTCATTTATTCAGAAACACAAGCATTGATTCAAATCTTCCCTGTCACATGCACCAGTCCCGCCAGGCCCTGTGCAATACACCAGAGGCGGAATGACAAGCCCAGTGCCCTCCCTGGAAGAACTCTCTCACCAGACAGGTAAACGGGGAAGGGCAGAAGATGTAGACTCTTGGCCTCATCAGGTGAGAGAGCTTCTGGTTCTGATGCAGCTTCCTGAAGTACTGTTTGTGAATGACCCATGAGGAGCAGGGTAAGCAATGCCAGGCAGAGAAAGGACGAAGTGCAAGGGCACAGAGCTGTGGACTATCACTCAGGAAGAAAGCAGCTCCTCTGGCCAAAGCACAGGTACCAGGGAAAGACACAGAATCACAAAACACAACAACAAAAAGAGAATCACAAGAACTGTGGGACCCACTGAGGCATTACATTTGCTGGGATCTGTGTTTGGACCAGAAGAATGAGTGTGGGGACTGCTGTAGTCACCTGAGCAAGACAGGAAACTGACCCGCAGCAGGATCTAGGAGATGCAATCAAACACCTTACGGAGATAAAATCAATTAAGCACAGTCTAGTTGACCTGTGCAAGGTTCCAACCTTGGAAAGCACATTCCTATCTGAAAAACTACTGAATTCTCAATAACGCAATGGGCAATATGACATTGTAATTCAGATTTCAGAGAGGGTGCCCAAGAGGTAGAGACAGGAAGCGGTCTACCAGCCTAACTGTGAGCACATCTGTGGCGAACAAGAACAGCACCCAGGTCTTAAGATTCTCTACCCAAGCTCCCATCCTTGTCTCTCTCAGGGACAGGCTGACAGTACTCAGTGCCAGGCTGGCAGTACCCAGTGCCTGCCAAGGGTGTGCTGGGGCTCCTGAAGCCAAGGCGACAAGACGTTGGCAACCTGGAGCCAGCTTCTGAGGGGAATCACTTCCAACCGAAGACAGAAACTTTTAAAACTGTAAACAGCTGCACTTAAGCACAGCTCTGAAACATCCCTCACAAAGGAAGACACGCTGTTTCCTATAATGCAAGACTATGCTAGACAGGGGACAGGAGAGGGCCACCTCTACGGGCTCCGAGCACACACTGAGATGCCTGTGGTCAGCACACTGCAGCTGCCTCTGGGTAAGTTCTGGAAGCAGGAACGGCAGTTCAATGGCTCCTCACTGCAGCTAGCCCAGTTTTCCTGCTAGGCACCTGAGCAACAAATGGTTCTCCTGCTTCTGTCTCCTCTAGCCAGTCCCAAAACCAACAGGCACATTCTCCTTTAAGCCCTAAAAAGGCTGGGGACAACCTATATTTTAAGCAGCACTGGCCATGCTGATGAAGTCAAGAAAAAGTTTCCACCTGAACACTGATGACGTAGCAACTGTTAAGAAGGCAGATGTCATCTTAAGAATACGCTTAACAGATGAAGCACACCAACATCAATGTCTACAGGTGTCCAAATCAGGGACACTTTAACCATCAACAGGGTAGGGTAGTGATTTGGTAACTGGCAATAAATTGCAAACAAACGTTAGAAAGCTCACGTAAAAGCAGAGAGAATGCTCATGGTATGAAAAATTGGGTAAAATCAAAGAAAGAACACAACCAAACTGGCCAATACAAAGTCAAGCTGCTTGTAATCAATGAAAGAAAAAAAATATGCAAAGGTAAAAAATAATTTGATCATGGTGTAGAATAAGGAAGAATTTTTCCTTTTACTTTTTTTTTCTATATAGTTGTATCACCTTTTTGGCAGAAATTTTAAAATCTTTATCAAAGAGAAATCAATCAACCCAATCACTGCAATTTGCAAAGCAAACTGCCTGGGTGCTTCTTCAGAGATCTGTGATTTCACTGGGAAACAGTAGGGCTGGGGGTGTAACTCAGTAGAGTGCTTGTCTAGCATAAGTGAGTCCCTAGGTTTGATCCCTAGTGCTGCAAATTCATTCATCAAAGGCAACAGACTTAATTCCCAGTCCAAGAGAGCTAAGTACAAATTCTGTACACTTTCAAAAGCACACTGCCACTTCCTGCCCCGCAGGATGCACGTACCCACCACACTATGGGCATCAGGACGACAATCCCAAAGACACTGAGTCTTCCAGTCCAGAAGAGGACTAGACTTAGAGCTGAAATGGTGTCTAGCTCTGCCTGCAGTGTCACTTTGGGCAAATCCCATTCATTCTCTGAGATTTGATTCCTTCACCCACAGAGCACAGAGAATGGTCCAGCCGACTGCACTGAGCCTGACCCTTTGATGGTTTCTTCTAGGACTTAGTGGGTGAGTGGCAGAGGTGTCTCATCCTCCCCTTGTGCCCTCCATAGCCTCTTCAGGGTTAGAAAAGCCTGCAAGCAAATGCAAAACAGACCCACTATTCCCACAAAGTGGTTTTCTAGATCCCGCATGATACTAAAAGCCAGAGTAAGAAGTGCAGGTTCTATTTTAAAAGCAGTAAGAACACTGAAAAGGCTTTTGAGCATCAGACTGACAGTGACATGGGCAAGACTAAATGAATGAGACTGAGCAAGACCAGAGGCAACGAGGGTGACTGGAAGCCCAAATTGTATACCTAGGAAACCAAGCTCCCCCGACAGTGATTCTGCCAGTCTGTCAGAGTTATGCCAGCCTGACAACTCATTAGTGGTGAGGTACCCTGTCTCCTGTGGTACAGCGTGTCTGCCGTCTATGGAACAATACCTCCATCGGGCAGAAGCATCATTTAGATGCTCACTCGTCACACACAGATGCACAGAGCTGAATTTTCCAAAAGCGTGGAAAGGCAGAAGCCATACCATGTTTGTCTAGATTAAGGGGCCACTCGGGAACGGACAGGGCTTGGGCAGGCAGCGGGAGGGTTCCTTCCTGTGCCTTCCTGGCCCCTTGTGCCAGCTGCTCTTCCAGCTTGCTCCGCAGGGTGCTGTTGGTTTCGATGCTCCTTTCCAGCTGTGCCCGTAAAGCCTGGATCTCTGTCAGGAGGCTGTGCAGGTCACTGCCAGGATCCTGCCCCTTCCAGCCAGCTCCCAACGCCTCTGCTCTGGCCTCTGTGGATGTGTGCAAAGGGAAGTTGTGACATCTTCCTCAGGCAATGGGACAGCCATCAAAAGAACTCAATGGTGTTTTCAAACCACCATTGCCACCCACCGCCTCCTTCCTAAGAACTAGGTACAATTTAAAATAACAACTCGACTTTAAAAACAAAAATATTGGCTGACTTAATTGCTGCTATTTCACAGGCTAAATAAGAGCTAGAAATTAATTTTCACTTCTGGCCATAAAAGCCCAGCAAATTGCACACCAAACCCTGAAATTATGTCTAGTAGTAATAAAATCTATTTGGGCTGGAATTATAGAATGAAAGGGGATGATTTTAAGAGCCACAGTATATTAAAAAGGCACAACAACAAGAATAAGAGAAGCAACTTGAGGAGAAACGAAAGCTGTGACATGACCCCTTTCTAGATAAACTTTCAATAGAGAGAAACCATCTGGAAAATTAGTTTAAAAAAATAACAAAAAAACCTCACTACTTCTCAAAATTGATTCTGAAACATTAGACCTTATAGTTGAGCCATCCTGATCTGGCATCTCTCTTGAAACACAGAGAACCAGGGCCAACCACCAACCTACGGTAATGTCCAACACATGGGAGGTGCTCCATAAATATTCACTGATAAATGGGCAAAGAGAAATATATACTAGCAGTAAAATTATGATCAAAGTTACCTCTTAAATGCCAACTATATGCCAGGTACTAGTGTATGATGTTAATAAATGACCTCATTCAACTTTTACAATTCACTCCACATGGTAGATGGTAACAGACATGCTTACACAGGTAACAACAGGCCCAAAGGTGAAGCAATGTGCTAAAGCCCACACAGCCGGGATCCAAGGAGTGAGACTATAGACCATCACTGCCCTGGCCCTTGATCTGAATCCTTCAACACTTCCAAAACTGCAGCTTTGGAAGAGTGGGCCGAGGGCCGGGGTGGAGAATAGCGCAGTGGTAGAATACTTGCCAAGCACAGCAGGGAACTGGGTTTGATTCCTAGCACATTAAAAAACAAAACAAAACAAAAGAAAAACAGAGTGGGCCAAAGGGCTAGCTTCAAGACATACCTAGTCAGCCCCTAGGGCAGTGTGGGGTTTGCTCTCAGCCCTTCGGGAAAGAGCAGGCAGCTCCTGCCCTCCCTCTCCTGCCACCAGCAGTCCAGGCAAGCTCGCAGCCCCAGACACAAAGGACCTCACCCCAAAGCACCCAGTACCTTGCTGTCGGCTCTTGTGCTCCTTATCCAGCCTCTCATACATCTTCAGCTCCACCCGGAGGGACTGGAGCAGCTTGTCGTTCTGTGACAGCAGCTGCTGCTTCAGTTTCACCTCCTCCTGCACTCTGAAATGGCCCCCAGCATGGGAGGAGAGGTTAATTCTACCCCGGGGAACCACTCAGACCCGCAGGGCAGGCCTCAGAGTGTGGACAAAATGGTACAAGCGGAGTGAAAAATTCCACACAGCTACCATTTCCCAAGTGCTCCCAGGCATGGCTCTCTCGTGTCATCTTCTACAGTCACCCAAAAAAGGAGGTACTCTCTGAACCCTCCATTCCTCTTATTACGGTGCAAAGCTACAAAGTTCCATCTCTTACCCAGGGGTGTGGAGCTCTGGAGAAGAGCCTGAACCTAAGCCCAGCACTGTCTGATGGCAAACACAGTGGCCCTGCTATGTCACTGCACACCCCGGGCAGCTGAGGTGAGGACAGTCACTGAGGGAGTGCGGCACTCGTGAGTGCTCACATAAAGAACTGAAAACATGCTCAGCGAGACATAGCCTAAGAGGGGAGACCACAAGGAACCCAGAAGAATGTGCCTTGCAAGAGCTACAGTGGACAAATGTCACTCTTCTCTCGGAATCTCCTAGAACCTCCCAATGACACTCAGAACAAACGTCAAAGTGGACCCAGTGAGAGGATTCAGCATCTGGCCACCTCCCTGACTGCTGCCCCTACCTCAGCCCTGTCCTCCAGCTGTGCTGCCCTCCCTGCTTGGCTGCGGCCACTCTGCCTCAGGGCCCATGTGCCTTCTGTCGAAACAACCTTCCCTGGGGGCTGTAGCACTCATCACCCTGGGACACCCAAGTAAGACAGGGAAAGCTGCACTCCACCATCTCCTCTCCTCACGTGATCTTTCCCCACATCCCTTCTGCCCACCAGACATGAGGCGTGAGTGTTTCCGCCTCCTCTTGGCACCGGAGCAGGACTACAGTGTTTCCCGGACTTGCAGCAGGCAACAGAGGCAGGCAGGTCGGGCCCACCTGCTCAGCTCCTGGCGGCTGCTATGGACCTCCTGGAGCAGCTGCTGGTTGTGTCTCTCCCTCTCACTGACTTCCTTCTGCAGCCGCTCGTTCTCCCCCTTCACACTGGCATACTCTCGCTGAATGTGCTCCAGACTTGCAGTCTTCCTGGAGATGGACTCTCGCAATTTTTCATTCTCCTCTTGTTTATCTACAAACACCGAAAAGCGCCAGTGAGAAGGATACCATTTGTTTCTCCCAACCTTATTACTCAGATACAGCACTTCAGCTCGAGCACTCCAAGAATACAAAAAAGAATGAGATTTAATCTGGCATTTATGGTTTTGGCATTCCAATTATCTTATGCGTTTTGGGCAGATAAATCTGTCAACATCAAAGCTGTAGATTAAACATCACAGGGATGAAATGGGCCTGTTTAATTTTCTATTAAATAATAGGTCTTCCAAACCCAGTTACTTTGGCTTCATGAAGCAAAGAGTGGATAGGAACTATTGGCAGAGGCAGGACACAGGGCCCACACTCTGGCAGTACCAGCAGAGACCAAGGCCGCCAACAGCCCCCTGCCAGGCCAGCAGGGCTGCACAGAAGGTGCCTGAGTACATCATCTCTCCCAATAAAATACTCCCAGAGGCATGGGAGACCAAGAGACCCAGAGCAAGGTGCTGGAGGCAGAGCAGCATTGAGGGATTCAAGTGTGGCTCCTGTGTTCACTGACTCCTTGACTTTGAGCGAGGTTTTTCACTCCTCCATGCCTCAGTTTCCACACACACACTACGTCGAGGTGAAGGCTCAGCATAGGACCTCGTAAGCACACTGGGGCACCCTGTCAAGAGCTGTGCTGGTGGTGGCTCGAACTACTGTGTTCCAGCTCTAATCACAGGTCTTCATGCAGACCTCTTATTTAATCCTCACAGTACACTTCTGAGGTAGGAACTGATTCTCTTCATCTTTCAGGCAGGAACCTGGGGACAGTGAGGTTAACACATCCCTGTGATCACACAGCCAGTAAGCAACAGAGCCAAGACTCAGGCCAAGGGTTTTGATTCCACACTAACAATGACATGAGACTTGCTACAGAAGCATGGACTCTGGACCATGCCCCACACTGCAGACCTGCCAAGATGCACATCGCTCCTGATGAGCCACAGGTCCTGGGCCTTGTCTGCTCTCTTCCTGACATTTAAAAGGCCTTGGCTCCTCTGAACTTGAGAGGTCCTAGTTAATCCCTCCACACCTTCCCGACTCAGCTGGAGCCAGCTCCTCCAGGACCAAGATGCCTTCTCCAGTGTCCTACAGCTCCCTGACCTGCCAATCTTCATGTTACCTCGCTGCTATCTGGCTGTATCTCCCATCAGACCATGCATGAGCCCCCCGATAGAAAGGACCAGCACTCTTCCATTTTTGGTTAAGAGTTTTCATAGGCCCTGACACAGAACAGGAGAAGAAGGAATGTTGCTGAGTGAATGAATGACTTGCAGAGGCTCTAATTTGATCATTTAAGCCCATATTGGCATCGATACCCTCCCTAGGGAAAGTGCTATAAACTGGTTCAAGTTCTAACTCCACCATCTCTAGTCTATGACCACACAACAGTGCAGCTCCCCAGGCCTCAGGTTCCTGACCTGTAAAAGACAGCTAATCATACCTCATGCAAGACTCATTTTAAGGACTGAAAGATATTATACGTGAAAGCTCTTCAGGAGCTAAGCTCCAAACAGAGGGAATTAAGAGAAGGGATTTTTGGAAGGAATACTGGATAAACTTCACTGGTTGATGGCAGTGGTATGTATTTTCAGTCATTCTCTTTTCCACTGTGAACCAAGATGAGTACAGGTGGCTGGAGCGGGATGGGGTGGGGAGGTGAATGACAAGTAAATATAGTAACACTTATTGACAAGCTGGTAGAGATGCTGCTGAAGGCTTTACTCCCTTAATTGCCACAACAGCCCTATCAGGTATTCCTTAACCTCTCTGAACCCTAGATTTCTCAGTTATAAAACAAGAGTGCCTCAAAAGGCTGTTGTGACTATTAAATGGGGTAAAGTTGTCACCAAGCCATATGATTTGAACCTGGCTTGGTCAGGCTTCAACACCTGTATTCTTTGCCTGACTGGGAGGCTTTGAGGCCCATGCTGAAGATGGCTTCTCTCATTCTTACCTTGAGACCCCTTCACTAGCATTGTGTTGAGCTCCTGGTTCTGCTTCCTCAGGAAATGTATTTCTGACGTCAATGAACTGTGCAGTTCTGAACCATATGCAAAAACGTTTGTAGAACCTACAAAAACACACACGAGGAGGATGGAACCTCCTAGAAAACCATTTTAACAATGAAGAAATGAAACAAGCAATGGAAATCACTCTGAGGACTACATAAGGGATTGCCAGAGCTCAACGGGAAATGAGAGTGAGCTTAAAAGTAGAGGTAAGAGGGGGCTTCTCATATCTTACCTGCCCGAAGATGAACAAAGCAGAGAACAGGACAGGGTGAGATGGTGAGAAACAGTCACAACCTTTGTCATCTGCCTACGAGGCCTCACTTAGTCCCCTCCAAACCTTTCTCTCCTCCTCTGTTCCCTGCCCCAGATGATGGAATTAGCTCAATCCCTAATCCACACCAGCAGCTGAAACCATCTGTCTTCCTAAACTCCTCTCTGTCCCACTTCCAATTCAGCCACCCTGACAGCAGATTCTTCCTCCAAAATGCCTTGGACCCCAGCCAACTCTTTGGTCCCTAAGGTTCAGGCTTTGATTACCTTGCTCCCAACCTCCCTTCTGGCTATTCCACCAATGGGATTATCATCCTACACACAATCGCTTCCATGTTATCATCTACTCAAAAACATGATAGCCCAAAAGACAATGGAACAAGCTAAATGTAAGACCTACACTTCTCAGTCTAGATTCTGGGATTCTTTATGCTCCCTCTGTGACAAACCCACTCCATCTCCACTCACGCCCTAGTACGTGGGCCGTGTCCACCTGTATGGCCATAGCCTCTTCTGATGCTGCAGAATGAGGTTCTCCCTCTGTATGGACTTCCCATCACCCTCTTCATCTGCTGAAGTCTTACTTTTTCAACTCTTGGCTTAAATTCACTGCCTCTCAGTGCATGCTATAAAGATTAGAGTCCGAAGCTAGACAGATTGGGTTGAAGAAGATTTTCTCACCCATAAGTACCCCACCAAGCTCTTGTCTTGTCTGCTGAAATCTCATCCTTCCCCTAAATCCAACTTAGATGACACCTCCTGCTGGACAACTCCCTATCTCCTCCCCCGTTCATACCATTATAATGTTCACATTCACAGCTGTCTTCTCCATGCAGCAGGCAGCCACTTCCCCTTCCAGCCTCCATACTGACTGACAACACAACCTATACAACACAGCCCAACTGCCAGCCTCTTGTTCTCCCAGCCACTCTGTGGTGAGAACATGGTCAACGAACCTTTCGGACCACCAAGACCCCAAAGGAAGCCTGCTGCAGGCCTCAGGGAAAGACTTTCTACTCCATAAAGCCAGAAGGCCAGAAAGAAGCCCAGCCTTTTCCTCCCCATGTTTTGGACACTTCCTACAGAAGATGGAAGGCTGATAATTACTCCAGTCATCACTTGAGGACACCAACCCCCAAACCCTACTGTGTCTGAGCCATAAAATCTGCCTTGTGACTTCTTGCCTCTAGAGTTCTTGTTATGTAAGAAAACAGAAATCCTCTTGCTTATAACCTGTTTCACCCAGATTTTGCTATCAGCAGCTGAAAGCATCCTACTATAAAACCAACTTCCCGCGATGTTCAAGCTCCCTGGAGACAAAGTATGGCAATTCTCCCAGAAGTTCCCACTCTTCCCAGTCTACAGCACAGCCCTTTTCTCCTGCTAATGGTTTGCTATCAGAATGTCATAATTTTTCAAATTCTTACATGTCTCTCTCTCTCTCTACCATCTTCCTTCACTCTTTCCTATCCAAGACCCCACGGGTAAACTGTGGCTCTGGTTTCTCAATAGCTGTAAGATCTCAAGGTAGTCATATAACTTTACCAAGTCTTCACTAGTTCCATAAAAATTATTCACATTATTATTACTCCTGTTTTTGTAGTAATTTTACCATTCATGATAGGATGAAGCCAAAAGAGGACCAAAGAATCAACTATATAAGCAGGAAAAATTCTATGGATGTCTACAATACTGAAAGCTAAGACAGTCACTTTTCAAAAGAATAATTAAGTCAAAGAATAGATCCTGAAACAGGCTAAATCAGAGCAACAAGCACAAGCTGGCAAGGACCAGACTACTTTAATGCTCAAGTGACCAGCCTCCTCTGAATACCACCACTCCACACCTTGGGTGACCAGTGACAAGCTAGAGGCTCAAATGCATGGGACAGCAGTTTTTAACAATATTCCACCTCAATATTATAGGGAGTCAGTCCTTTTCTCAAACCTAGTCCCAAGATGAGTATTTCACAGCAGGGAGAGGCGGAGCCACTTTTATTTCTTTGTATTTTCAGAGACTGTGGCAACATAGTGAGAACAGCATGTCTTCCCACCAGCGTAAATACTTTATGAATGCCTTTTTGTAAACCTTCCCGTCAGAGGGAATTACTCTTCAGAGCAATTGCCTGCTCCATTGTAGCCGGTGGCCATTTGGGCCCCAAATAATTCTATAATTGGATTTGCCAGCAAAAATGTAAAACAGAATGAACCTAATTCAGGCATTATCAAGAGTGAATGTGAAAGGCCCAGGCACATATTTCTTTCCTGTGTTTGATATGACTAATAATTCAGATTAATCAATTTCTTTGGGGGGAGAACAAGGGGAAAGATGCAGGCTGGAGGTGAGGTGGAGTAGGAGGGAGGGATAGAGAGGGAATGACAGAAACTGCTCTGTTTACCCTGCAAACTGAAGCCCGCACAGTACTTTGGAAAGATGTCCTTATAAGCTGATGGCACAGTAGGCTAAAGGGGAACAAGACATGGACAAGGGGTGTAAGGACCAGTCACCATCAAGTACCAACTATCTTCCCAGAATTCAGGAATTTCACTGTTAAAGATGGGATGGCATGAGGGTCCCTGCCCATTGCAGAGCTCTGCAATGTTAAGTGGTTGGGCTATACAACATAAAATTGCAAAATATAATTGGTAAAGATGATGAAATCAACCATTAATAAATAGTGAGGCACTGAACAAAGCACAATTCATAACACGGCCTCACCTGAGCTCCAAATGAAGGTGTTTGGGAAAAAACTGACTGGGAGAGGGATGGAGTGAAATGGCCAGTCATAAAACTAATAAGCACGAGGCCTGGTATCCACACTTCCGAGGTTCAGGGTGTGCTGCCTGGTGAAAATGTACAGAAGAGTGCACACAGTCTGCTAGCTTTGGGGACAGTAAGAGGGAGAATAAGAAGATATATTTGTATTTGTACTTTGAAAATAATCATTGCAAGGATACAGAAGAGAGCCAACAAAAACTAGGAGGAGGAAGAGGAGGCCAGGGTTAACAGGTAAATTATGAAAGTTTTAATTTTCAAACTCTGTAAATGTCTTCCTGTAGGAAAAATATGCTCAGCTGTCATGGAAGAATGTGCCATTTAAAAGTGACAGTGGTTATGCAGGAATACTGGTGCCCTTTTGATTGGCATGGGAGATTTACCAGACTGCTGAAATGTGGATACTTTTATAATCCATTTTGACAAAAAGACAATATACGGCCTCGTGCTATTCTAAAAAAATACCTATCTATATCTTTATAGCCTCCACCATCCAATGAGAGCCAACCACAATTCAGGATGCCAGAGGCTGGCGGACTTCTGAAATGATAGAGAAATTAACATTTATCAAGTACCTGTCTTGGTCACAGACTGCTTATTCAGGCAAACGTGACACAGTGAAGCTCTCACGGGCTTACAAACTCTCACAGGGCTCGCCCTGTGGGAAGGTCATTCCTTACCTTGATCGAATTCGGACCCTTGCCTTTCTAGCTGTTTCCGTAGCTTCTCATTTGTTTTAATAGATTCTTCTAAACGTTTTCTTAAAGTTCGAATTTCCTGAATGTGTTCCATTAGCAAATCTACAGGAAGGAAGGACATTTTTAATTTAAAGTCTGAAGCCCCCAACAAATTGAATAATTTATAGATTATGCAGAGATCTTGAAATTCCAAACAGCACTGGATGTGTTAAGACAGTCGGCGACTGGCAATTCTTTCCTAGGCTGGGGGAGGCAGCGCTACTTCCCACAGCCTGCAGACACAGCTCAGTAATGATTCTCTGCAGCCTTCCATGAGGAAGCTATTTCACATCACACGGAAAAATTACATTCCATACAATTTTAATGCTAACTCTAATGTAGCTTTTATTCTTCTCAATATCAAATATTAATTTAAAATCTTCCTTATGGTGAAACTAACAGATCACTTTCAAGTCTGCCTGAATTGCCTGAGAGTTGATTAAACTACCTCCATCATGAATTCAGATATTTTCAAGACTAGTTTTTTTGAAAGGAATACGTTATCCGTTTATCACTTATTAATTCAAGTCTTAAAAATAAAGCAAAACAATGCTAGCAAAAATGGTAATAAGAAGGGCAATCTCAAGAGTATATCCTGTTAGCCTGAGTAAAAGTGGATAAGACCTTTTGAGGCTATTTATATCATTAGCCTTAGAAAAGTTCTTTTCCAGTGCCTTTATCAAATAATTCTATTTCTTGGATTCTATTTAAAGAGATCACTAGAGATACTGACAAATATTTGCCAGAATACATGAAAATGTTTGTCTCAGCATTGCATATAACAGTAAAAATGAAAATAACTCAAATTGTTAAACTGTAGTACAACCATTATGATGCAGTATTATATAACTACTAAAATTATGTTATGAAAACTATATAATACCATGGGAAAATTATGTTATGTTAAATTTTAAAATAGATACAAAATTCGTTATTCAACACAATATGTAAAAACTAACACAGGCAAGAAAGACAAATATACAAAAGAAGGAAGTACACCTAAATATTACCAGCAGTTAATAACCAAGAGATAGATTTTTAGATTTTTCAAAATTCTGTATTACATTTTAATGTAATACAGGATTTTTCAAAATTCTGTATTACATTTTAATGTAATATTTAATGATAGGTACAAATGTTAAACTTCCAAACTTCCTAAAATGAGACATATTATTTTTTTATCCTCTGTCACAGCTCACTGTAACAAAGAAAGAAGCAAACACAGTTGCAATCCAGAGGTAGCTTTCTAGAGTCAGTGTTTAAAACATAATCACATTAAGTATCCAAAGGCAAAACTAATGCCTTTAATTCATCAATTAGGGTATACTCAGTATGTCTTAGTAATGTTTGTTTTAAAACATTATACTAATGTTATAACCCAGTTTTAATTCCTCCAAAATGGCTTTCATTTAAAAGTAGCACAATGTTACAGATCTTTTCCTAATTAAATAGTAATTTTGCCATGAATTTGAATGTTTATGAGATGACTTAATTCCTAGACCTTCAGCTATCTCCTAATAATGCCTGAAGAGTGGTGAGTCCCTGGGAGGGTTTTCTGCTGCAGCACAACCCTGAAGGCTCTGCCTGCGACCCATTCCTGGCACATCCAGCACTGTACCTCCCGTTCCCGTGTCGGGGCCCTGAAGTCTTCTCCCAGTGGCTAGGCCAGAGTCAGTCAGGAGCTGACCAGTGTTGACCGCAACCGACCTTGCTGGTCTACACATCACACACCGCTGCCTTTGAGAGCGTTAATACTCTGTAGCCATCAAGACAGCCACCTTCCACTGAACCTGCCGTCAGGAGCTGAAGCTATCACTTGGGCTAGAAGAATCATGCCCAATGGAACGGGACACCGCTTATTAATTATGCAGCCTTAGTGAGGGGAAGGAAACACAATATTGTACCAGCCTTTACAAAAAGGGAGATAAATGCTGGTCTCTCTTACAGTAAATCCTTCTGATAAATGCACTCTTTAAAATCATAATCCTATAAGAAGCAATCGCTACATGAGTGCGCGTGTGTGCACGCATGCACACACACACACACACACACACACACACACACACACACACACAGTGTGTATCTTTTACCGAGTAGCTCCAATTTAGAGAATCTATCTTAAGAACATGACCACAAATAAAGGGAAAGCTTCATGTTCAAAGATACTCCCTGCAGCACTGTTTACAACTGCAAATTCTGCAAATGACTTTAATGTTCAGCAACAGGAAAACCGCAGTTCCGTCACTCGGACTATCCTAAAGCCACGAGAAATGACACTATCTAAAGCATATTTGGAAGCTTATGATAGGATGTTAAATGAGAGAAGAAAACAATACTAAATTATTTCCCTACACAGATTATAAATATGGTAAAATGAAAAACCAGATGCAGAGAATAAAAGGCTAAGAGAAGCAAAGCAAAAAAAGATAAGGCTAGATATATTAGGGTAGCTGTACAGAGCCCCATTCCCATCAGGGTACAGGGAACCAAAGGCATGGGTCCCTAGAGGAACAGACACAGATGCCTAAACGGCTTTCAGCAGAAATAAAATGAGGCTAGAGAGGCAGACAGGGTGAAGGAGAAAGAGGACAGGCAAGAGGAAGAGCACCCTGCCCATGCATATCAGGGGGCTCACATGTTCTGCTCTGAAGAAGGCTCCCTCCTCCTAGTTCTACAGACCTTCACTCCACTGAGTCCATACAAAGGCCTCACAGGAGTGGTTAGGGGGCTCTTGGAAAAGGACTGGGTTCTTACAGCGCAGAAGGAGGAGGCACCAGGGAGAGGGAAATATTTTGTGGCCTGACCCAAATTCCCAACGCAAGAAATGGCAGAAAAATCAAGGAATCAGAAATACACAACAGGGCTAGAGTTTTAGCTCAGAGGCATAAATGCCTGCCTGGCAAGCGCAAGTCCTGAGTTCAACCCTCAGTACCAAAACAAGACCCAAAAAAACAAACAAACAAAAGAAATCCACAACAGTGTCAGAGGAATACAGCTAAAAATCCTAAGCAGTGCAGTCCAGGTGCCTGGCCATGGGGTGACCCGAGTCACCCCAACACCGTGCACTTCACAACCTACCCAAGTCTATCTACTGTGCACATCCGGGCATCCAGGAGAGCTGCAGAGGCCGTCCTGGAGGAAAAGGCTCCATTCAGGTCTTAATGACACGTTGGATGGGGCCTCCTTATACATTTTCACCTAAAAAATCAGGTCTTGTTGAGCTCAAAAGGCTTCAGATTTTTTGAAAATCATGACCTTTGTGACCAGCTGTCAACAGAGTATCGGGCAGGGGGCACTGTTCGCTTCATGCTATGCAGTCCATGCTGGCACTTTGTGGAAAGGAGAGAACAGAGATTTCAGGGGTGATCCAGAGTCCACACCTACTGAAGGCCTGGAAAATGCAGCCCAGGGCCAAGCCTGGCTCAGCCCCTCTTCGTGTAAATAAAGCATTGCTGGACACAGCTGTGCCATCCAGGTACATCACTGTGGCTGCCTCTGTGCTGTGACAGCAGAGCTGAGCAACGGCAATGCAGGCCGCACACACCACGGAGCCTAGAACATTCACCTTTTGTGCCTTCCCAGGAAGAGGTTGTTGATGCCTGGTCTATCCGATCTGGCCTATCCAATCCCTTAACTCTTTGAAATATACTCAATTACAAACACTAAGCCCTACATTTTACCCTAACAGGAGGAAATCAAGATTCTAAGCTCAGCTGGATCTGGTAGTGCACACTTGCAATCCCAGCACTCAGCAAGTTCGAGGCCTGCCTGGGCCACATAGTAAGTTCCAGGGCAGCCCAAACTACACAGGAAAAAAAAAAAAAAAACCCAACCAACCAACAAAACAATAACAAAAAACGGTTCCAAGTACAGAAAAGGTGACAAGGTGCAGGGCACTGGGGCAGGCTCCTGGGAACACTGATTTTACCAGCTCAGTTCATGGTCAGAGGTAGTGCAAGAGTGTTACAGTCTGAATGCCCACATTTCCAAAGTCAGAATCTTGAAGCCCTTAGTAACAGTGTGGCGGAGTTAGGAGGTGGCTTTTGGGAGGTGATTAGGCCATGAGGCTGTAATCTTCACGAACGGGATCTGTGATCAGTGACCATGCCCTCGTAACAGAAATTCCAGAGAGCTCTCTTGCTGCCTTCTTCCATATGAGGAGACAATGAGAAAATAGCAGCCTCTGACCTGAGAGGGGACCCTCACAGAACCCAAGCAAGCTGCCTAGCACCTTGATCTTAGACCTCTAGAACTATGAAAAACAAACACCTGCTATTCTTAAGCTACCAAGTCTGTGGTTTTCTGCTATAGTAACTTGAATGGACTAACACAAATGCCTTGGCCCATGGCCTAGTGTCACACTAAGAGAAACAAAGCAAGAAAAGTCACAACTGTACTCAGACCAAATAATCACAAGAGGGGGCTGAATGCTCTTGGATAGCTACAAATCAAAGCAGAAGCATCCTCAAAGTAACCCTGCCTTAGGGTGAGAGAAACAAAAGGTAATTTTTGTTTCTCTCAAACTTGCCCTGACACTGACACACGACTGCAGTGCTTTCTAGCCTAGCCTTGTTAGAAGAGCATCATTTAAAAAACAAAAATGACTTCTACCAACCACCTGCACTTACACATCACACCTTTCTCCAGTGATAGAGATGTCATTCCCAGCCTGCTATAGCATCCCACTCTCCTATCATCTGAGAAAGTCCCCACACTCTGCTTACCCAGGTGAGGCAGCAGGGTAGAGTTTAAAACTGGTCATTTATGGTGCCTACCAAGGCATAGCTTACCTTGAGAAAAATGGCTCACCACCTTCTCAGTCTCACTGTCTTGCTTCTGGTCTCGTGAAAGGGAGGACTTCTCGGACATTTCATAATCAGACATGTGAGAGGCAGAAGGCTCAGGAGATTCAGGAAGAATATGTTGGTAGGTTAAGTTGTCTTCAGTCCTGAATCATTAGAATTGAAAGACACACACGCCCAATGTCAGGATACTCAAGGTTACTTCCCCTGGTAACTATCCCATGTTTGCAGTTCAGACCTCTCATATCCCTAAAATGCTAAGCAACAACGTTTAAAAACTAAAAGCATTCCATGGACCAGAAAACGAAGTGAGGGGACTGTGCCTGCCCCATGATCTGGTTATAAGGGAACAACTAGAGAGAGGGCACAGGTCAGATGCAGCCATTTACCAAATGCCCACTGTGGACCAGACACTCTAGATCTTACTGGGTCCTAACTGTCGCCCTCTGAGAAAGAGAGTGCTATGCTCCTCTGGAGCTGGGGAGACTGAGACTCGGCATAAAGCAGCCCACTGTCAGCTCATAAGATGCACCACTCAGATTTCAATGAGGCCTATCTGACTCCAAGACCTCAGGGAGATGTGAGAGTCTGGCCCAACGCCATGAAACAGCCTTATGGAATTAAAAATCTCAAAGCCTCATGGCCCCTAAGCAGTTCCCAACAGCATCACTCTAGCAATCATGCGGTTATTAACCTGTATTTCCCAAGGACCACCTAAACCATGAGGAAAAACAACCCAAATGCTGTGAAAAGCCCGTGTGAATCTCCATTATAGATAAGCTCCTTAATTTAAGCTCTTTTCTCTCCCACTCTTTCCTATTACTTCTTGACAGTGACCACAGTCTCATTATTCATGAGCTCAGACGAGAGCAAAGGACTCCAAAGCAGCAACATATTCATTAACAGGTAAACACCAGATGCAACTTCACCCAGACAGCATGATGGATACATGGGCTTGCTGCTGCTTGCAAACGTGCAGAATGGGCCAAGGGCACCCATTTAATTAGCTTAGAAGTGACCCCTTGAGTGCTAAGCCTACAGCTGAAAAAGGCAGAAGAAAAGGAAAAACAAATTTGTGAGAAATAGAAAGGGCAGACACATTGGTTGAGGGGGCCTAAAAGACATTTACTATCTCCTTCCCATCCATTCTCCAAACAAACTCAGCAGTCTTTCAGGGGCAAGGGCTGTGATACAGCACTTGCCTTAGCAGGAGCAACACTCTGGATTTGATCCCAGAACTACCAATATTAAAAAAGTAGTCTTCCAAATGGTCAACCTGATTAGGTCTAGCTCCAGAGCTTTTGCTCCTTCAAAAACTCCTTTCTTCCTACAGAATAGTGTTGGGACTCTTTTACATAGCATTTGAGAACCAGCCCGATGGGTCCAGCAGCCTCACTGGCTGCACTGCTGCAGGGTGTCATGTTTGCCTTGCGTCTAGCATGCACAGTCTCCCAGCTGCCCTGGGCCCCTTACACTCATCTATTTCAGCTAAGACTGATCTAACCTGAGCAGCCCTTCCCTGCCAACTCCACAACTGGACAGTGGGGTATGATCCTTCACTATGAGGGTAGAAATAGTGGGTTGAGCTGGGAGGGATCTCTGAGATACTGCAGTGGGAGAAGGAGTGCTTCTTCTAAATTCATAGAAGCCCTGATTAAAAGATCCTCCAGTGGGCTGTGATACCTCCCTGCCTGCTCAATGCAAAGCTGCTGGTAGCCTTCATGATGCTAATAATTTTTTTAAATTTTTCATCCAAAAGCAATGCCTATTTATTTATTTTGCCCCTAGGACCCCAAAAGGCCATATTCCTACAGAAAAAGAAGGTTCTCCAGCAGCAGGACTGTAACAGCTCTCATAACCTTTAACAAATAAAGGAGGGCAAGACCCTGGCATTTTCCATGGACATAGAGGCAGGCTGAGAATGTGTACAATCACCTGTTGTCTTTGCCCTCAAAAGACAACACAGAATAACAGTAAGGGCACAAGCACTGGAGTAGGACAGACTCGAGTGTAAGTCCTAGCTCTGCTTCTCAATGGCAAGTGTGCAGTCCTGACCCACAGGCTTCCAATCCTAACTAGAAATAAAAATGCTCACCTCGTAGGATTGGAAATAATAAATGTGAAACCACCAAGGCAGCAGCTGATATATACCAACACCCAGACAGTGCTAGTTAGCTCCCTTTTTGCTTGAAGGAGTCCGGGAGCAGGAAGATGGATGCAGGAAGTATGATGGCTGCTTAATATAACTAGGGGCCACTGCTTCAGCAAGAGTAACAGACCCCGGGACATAGCGGAAAAGTAGAGTGCCAGGAAGAGCCTTGTTCATTTCCACTCCAACGGACACTGGCAAGGACTTTGCCACTACAGGAGGAGGGAAGCAGAAGGTACAGCCTGGGCACAGCCACAGCCAGGACAGTAAAGACCCAGGTAAGATGCAGTACAAGGAACACGGTGAAAAGGAAAGGGAGTGAGCAGCAGGGAAGGGAAGAGAAGGAAGAGGGGAGGGCGGAAGGGGAAGGGGTAGGGGAAGGGAAAGAAAAGGGAAGGAAGCCAGGCCACCTGAGAAGGGCTTGATGCCAAGGTAAGGAGGCTGGGATTTTTATCCTGCAGCGGCCCAGAAACCAAGGGGTAAAATATGTCACCTGGTTCAAACCACCCAACCAATTCCATGAGCCACCTGAATGAACACACTGTGTGAACTCTTGGTTTTGTGAAGCCATTGTCAATTCTATAGACGTTTATGCCTTATTTAAAAGAAGCACAAAACTTACAGAATGAGAGGGAATCTGAATATTTTTAAAAATCTAGCAGGAAACCAAAGCCAGCTAGTCTTCTTAACAATTGCTGCATACTTACCTCTCTACTGGTTCATTCTGGAGATTCAGTTCCACTCCCGCTGACTTTCCTGAAAGCAGAAATAACATGAAGAAAGAAAGAAAATATGTTTGTAAAGTGTTTCCTAATAATTTCTTGCCCACACATTTGCAAGGACACTGTTCCATTTGCTTAAATACTTACAATGTTCCAAATGCTTAAATACTTACAATTCTGATACTGAAAGTGGGATTACCTGGAGCACAATTGAGATGACAGGCTCCTGCTCTGTCACTGCTCTGGCACTAGTGCCAGGTGATGCACTGAATCAAAGAAGCAATCATAAAGGCATCACTGGGTGCAGTTCTTTTTCCTTCCCTAAAACTCTGGCAACAGAACATAACCTAACTGCAAGAAAACAGCAACAGAATCAAAAAAGCTCACTCTCTTCCTGCTACCCCCTGCAGGCATGCAACTGGATTGCTTTCCTTTCTTCCTTCCATGCATTTGGGCAGAAATGATGCTGCAGCTTCTTAATTTTTTTTCAGTCTGTGCTTTATTATAAGCATTCCTTTTATTCAATTTGCTTTAGAAACCAAGTTGTTAATGTCCACACTAATATTCCATAGTGGGCACACATGTACCAGTTTTTACCAGTTCTCTATAAGATATATAGGGCATTTCCAAATTTTACTTTAACAAATAAATGAAATAAACATCTTGGTCATACAGCTTTATCTGCATTTAAATTGTGTTCTTAGGAAAGACTCTCAGAACTGGGATTACCAGCAGAAGGAATATTTGAGTGCAGCTGAAAAACGAACACTGTCTACAGCAGGGCAAACGACCAAAAGAAATGACAAAAGAAAATAAACTAAAGCTCAGGATGTTGTTGGGCAAAAGATGCTCCGCTCTATCACTGAATGTCACCATTCACTGTTTGAAAGGAAGCATGAGCCCCGATTTCAAAGAGACTAACAACTTTATTTTTAAAATACTTCAGAACTCTGAAAATTGCAGACCAGGATGAGCTCTTTGAAGAAACTGACGCATGGCTAAAGAAAAAAAAACAAACACTTCTATACCTGCACTTGAAAAATGAGACTATAATTAAAGTGCACCCACACATACAATTTTTAAAACTACTCCTAAAAGGAAAATTTCTCAAACACCACAGCGTAGGAAAAGAGCTTGGATGTTTGCTTTCTGTCTGTGGTTCTTGCCTACAACTAGCAGAGTGGCTGGCACTGACATCCAGGCCCTCTCCAAGCTACCAGCCAGCCACCTGGGCGCCAAGAGCACATACACAACGAAGGCTAGACAGTGGCCTTCCACCACAGGGTACTGTCACCACTAGGAAGGACTCAAGGGTGCCTAAGTAACCAAGCGCCAGGCCAGGCATAGTTCATTAATGTCCACTCTTCCCTTTCAATTCCAGGCACAGTGTTATTAGCATCTGCATTTTCCAGCAAAGAAGTGGAAGTCCAGGAAGGCTACCAGATTTACCCTCCATCCTCACTCACTAACGCTATGGCATGTCACAGATCAGCAAGGGAAGCAGGGCATCCTCAGAGCCAGTGCGATCACAAATCTATGCTTTTAATTCCTTGGGCACCTTGTGTTCAAAATGGCATGGTTTCTTGGAAGGAGGCAGAGGCGGGCAGACCTCCATCACGGAGGATGCTCTCCAGGCCTCCACATTTCTGTTTTCTGTGTTCCTCCTCCAGGAGAAATCCACCTCTGACCGGGTCAGATATCAAGGCCATGAAGGAAAGTCCCAGACAAGTACAACTGTCTATTAAAAGAAGAACTCAGTCGGCAATTTTCATTTCAGGCTTGCACCAAATCTACTCACCAGTACTCAGCTGATGGTGAGATTCTGACTCACAGACCCTGAGGCTGGGCCAGCTGCCCAACTCCCCCAAAGGGCTTAAGAGTTATCTGTGTACTATCAGGCAGAAGCCAGGAAACAGCTGCTTCAGTGTACCCCTGTTCTCCAGAAACTTCACAGGGTGGTGCCCTGGGCTTGGAAGTAGGGGGCATTAAACACACTAAATCTCCTGACCATAAAATCCATTTAAAGTCATCAAAGACCTCTTCTCCATTCCTCATAAAGCCCACGACCACAGAAAGAAGTGCCCTGATGCCACCAGCAGCACGAGACTCTCCTTTTTCAAATAAAAGATCCATTGGGGAACTTGCAGTAACTCACCAGCAATTGTATTCCACCTGCTACCCTGTCACAAAAGGGTTCCTTTAAAACTAAATGACAAATGGTTATTGTGGAACTCATGGGGAGATCATAACAACTGGAGCACTGACTTTCTCGGTGGAAAGTGCCTTCACACAGGTGACAGGGTACCATCTGTCAGGCTTCGGACGCATGTTGTGGAAGTGCTGCTCCCATATCCCAGGCAAATCCTGTCTTTGCACTTTTAAAAGCTATGCAGCCTGTGGCAGTGGTGGGGTCATCTTCTCAAATAAAACCATCTCGCAGTCCCCTTCCTATGTAAACAAGCAAGAAGACTACTACTGGGCAAGACAGACTTGTGACTGGTTTACCTTCCAACTGCTCTCCACACTGACCCATCCTGTACTCTGCTGCCATGCAGGAAGCTTTTCTCAAACAACTCCTCAGCTCCAAACACATCAGTCACACAGAGCACAGTCCCAGCGATGCAGCCTGGCATATCTCCAGCACGACCTCAACGCTGCTCCTTCTCCCCCCCCCCCCCTCAGAATTGGAAGGAAGCATCCAATGTCCTCCAGGGGACTGGGTGAAACACTGAGGATCCACAGATGAACACCCTTCCCTCAATGAATTCACAGCAGGCTGGGGACGCTGAGCCCAAAAGACAAGTATATGGCAGTGCTGGGACAAGGGGCAGTGAGGTGACTGTAGAAGGGCACATAGAGGATGAAGCATAATCCAGTCTGGGTCATCAAGGAAAATGTAGCGAAGGTGAGCTGGGTCTTTGAAGCAGGAAGAATTGCTTTTAAAAGGAGGAAGGAAAGAAATCCTGAGGAGGGAAGATTCCAGGGGTGACTGGAAGTCAAATCCTCCATTTGATCTGAAAGCCTGGATCACTATGCCACCCGTACCGTGTCTACCCTACCTATCACCACAGTAACACCTCCCAAGCTCCTACTATTTGCTGTGTGAGACACCAGACCCTTTAAACAATCTCATTTAATCTTTACAAGCAACTCCTTGAAAATAGGTGCTACTATTTCTGCAGATGTGAAATGATCCTTAAAGGGGCAAATGACCCATAAAGCTACAGTTCAAACTCAAATATCTGATACCAAAAGTCCTGTTCTTTTCACCTCAAGCCTCCATCACAGGGTCATATATCATCATGCATGAGTTACAAACAACCCACAATAAAGAAAAGGAACCAGAGTCTGTTTCCACTTGGGGTGGACAAAGACATGTCCTGTAAGTAGAGGAGGAGGAAAACCTCCTTAGAGAAGTGGACTGGGATTGGGTGAACACTCACAGTGCAGGGAAATCCAGGGCCTGGTCCACAGAAACATTTGACCCAACTCGAGAAGAGTGTGAGAAGATACCATGGTGGGTAGGAGAGCAGGTTGTGAAAGCAAACGGCCTGGGCTCAAAGTCAGATTCTGCTACTTCCTGTGTGGCTTTGAACAAGTTAATCTCTCTATTCGTCCTATCAAATGAGAACAATTTACAGTAGTTCCTCATGGGCTGAGAACAATGCCTAGCACATAGCAAACACTCAATATGACCAGTGTTTCTCATTTCCTAGCTGTTTGCTCCATCATCCTCATCACTGGAAGGTAGTAGCCTAGAAAAGGCAGACTGTGAAAAGCCTTGAGAAGAAACCAATGCTTTAGGTTCATCCCCGTCAGCAAAGGAGGGCTATGGCCAGGGATCCCAGCACCTTTCTTCTGTTCCTGTGGCTAAACAAACTCATTGAGGGAGTTTTCTGTAACCTTCCTTGTACCTTCCCCAAGCCTCAGTCAAAATACTGTCTTCCTCATTTACGTGACTGGCTAGGGAGGCATCATAAACCAGAGCATGGTGAAAAACTCAGTTGCAATATCAGTTCCTATTCTACACTGGGTCCCAGCCTTCTTGGAGACTCTAAAGTTACCATGACTCACCACAGAAAAGTGCATACCCACAAAATCCTGCAGAATCCCAGGCACCTAGTGAATCCCTAGTTTAGGGGAAATCCCTAGTTTAGGGAATTCTGACTCCTTACAACTATTAAGAGACTACCTAATCATTTTATTTCTCAGGTCCTACCAATTAAATATTATGAAAGAAACACTGAGGACATGGACAAAGGTTTCAATACAAACGGTCCCAACCTGGATACGACCTAAGTATTCACCTAACAGGCAATGGTTAAACAAAATATGGTACATTTTCACAAAAGAATGCTCTGCAGCTACTAATACAATGTACATTATTATTATTGCTGAACAAAGAAAGAGGTTGCAAACAGTCCCATTTCTGCAAGCAATACACATATGCATTTTAAAGTTCTTGGCATACAAACTGCAGGGTAAATGATATAGTTTTAAAAGTATTTGTTTACCTGTTATTCTACTGTACACAAAGTATTCTGTACTGATTTCACAAAGTTTAAATTTTTCAGAACTGCAACTGCCACAAATATGAAACAACTTCATTACAAGTTTGTTTCGTAACTCAGGAACCAGAACCCTTAGAAAGCATCCAACAAAAACCCAGCTCCATGTTATATTTTATTCTCTAAGGAGAGAAGCTGTAGTGAAGGTCCTGGGACTTTACATCTTTTGTACAAGAAAACAAAGTTCTATGTTTGTATCGTCTGCTAAGCCTGAAATGTTCCTGCCTCCAGAATCCACAGGAAGCAAGAAGTGGGTTCTCCTGGGGTGTGCCCAAGTCAGGGGGTGGGTGGATGGGAGTGGGAGGCAGCTGCCTGTAGCTGCCCACTGCCACTGGCCAGGGCAAGGGCTGTGGGAAGAAAAGGAAAACAGCAAGGAAACACCTGTGCCTAGAAGACACAGCTCTATCAGTCACCTGGTTATTTCCTCACTACTAAAATGAAAAGTAGCTATGTGGACAATCTTCACTGGAAGACAGTGTATTTTTATAAAGCTGAGGAAAGGCAAGTACTATCTCTCACCCTATTCCTTAAAGATCCTGGGGAACTAATACCAAGAAAGTTGGCTACAACAGGTCTTCAGGGAAAAGCACTGACTGGCCCAGACTGGCCCCTACTCCACGCTTTCTCTTGGAATGAAACTGAACGTATGGGGAGCCTCCTAGCCATCTGTTCGGTACACACGAAGAAAAAAGAACAGCATCAAATTCTGTTCCAACCCCTTCATCTAGGCCTGTGAGCAACATGGTCTCCTTGTTTAAGGCTAAGTTTTTTGCTGGTGAAACAAGTACTTCTGCTCTGACCCATAACTCAACGTAAGTACAAACAGTACAAATATGCACTCAGTACACGATGACCCCATGCTGAGCACTGAGCCAAGGCTTCGGAGAGGTTATTTAATTTGACTCTAATGGCTCTGTGAATTAGGTATTAGAATGTTTAGTTTATGGGAAAAGAAACTAAGGCAAGGAGTGAGGTTTCAGAAGGTACCCAGCTTACAGGCAGGAGCCTGAGTTTTATAACCCCACCAGCCCCACTCCATGCTACATTCTTCACTGTGAGATCTACATGTCTTGATATGCAGAGCATTCACTATTCCTAAACCCCAGCTTCATCATCATGGAAGTTCGGATAATACCTCACACTTCCAAGATCATCCAAAGTTTCAATCAAAGAACACACATGATCCCAAGAGGAATACAAGATCTAACAGAAAGAGATTTTTGCCTGGAAATCCTAGTTGTCATATTCACTCCATAAATGATCACAGATGAGTTGCTTCTATGAAATGGGATTCGGTGATTCATTCATTTATTCAGACTCCCACACGACATGTATCGAGTAACAACTACATCCAGACATTGCCTATCTCCTGGTGCAATAGCACCAAACACGCCAGACAAGGTGCATGTACCCATGTGGAGCTCGCCGTCTAGCAGGCGGAGCACATCACCATAGATAGATGCTGTGCAGATGGAGTGGGCTGAAGAGGTGGAGATGGAGTAGGAGAAGGGAAATGTCAGTGATGGGGTGGGGCCTTACGAGGAACTGCCTGACAAAGTGACAAAGGGAAAAGAGATAAGGGGCACCAGAGAGAAGAGAGTGCAAAGGCCTGAAGAAAGAGCACAGCGGGAAAACTGCAGGTCAGTGTAGCCTGCAGTGGGAACTGGAGGGACAGGATGGACTGGGGCGAGATGAAGTCTGTGATACAGCTGTGATGGCACAGGCTTAGCCCCTTATCTGCACTTTCTAACTAAGCACAAAGGAAAGCCCTGAAAGGGACACAATCTGATTCACATCTGAAAAGGTCACTCTCATGACTGTGTGCAATATGGACTGTAGTGGACAAGGGCAGATGTGCAGAGGCCAGCAACCAGCTGAGAAGAAAGAGGGTGGCAAACTGCAACAGCAGCAGCTTGGGCCGTGAAGCTAATCTGGAACACTGTTGAATGAAGGCTGAGCTCCTGAGCAGCAGCTGGTGAGCTAGGAGAGTGAACCCTAAATGGGGTCCTCACACAAACCATGTGAGCAAACGATTTCCCCAGGGACAGGGAATCACCCTCAGCAGATACTGCTGCAGCCTGAGATGAAGACTAAATTCTATTCATTAAACTGTATAAAGTTGAGGCTGTCAGTGACTTAGACAAAGCATTTCAGTGGCAAGGCTAGGAAATCTAAAAACTCAACTCCTAATGGTTCTAAGAGGAAAAGGCGGGGGGGGGGGGCTGGAAAGTAATACTGATAGACATAAAGGAAAAGGACAAAGTTAATGACTCCAGGGATTGGACATGAAGTTCTGGAGTAGTGTGATTAGCATGTAGGAGACCCCAGGTTTGATTTCCAGCACAAAAAAAGACATCATACAAACAATTTAAAAGAAAGTACTGGTTTTGTGCTGGGGAGAAAGCTCAGCAGCACAGCACCTGCCTGTCACGCATGAGGTCATGAGTTCCCAGTACCACCACCACCACCAACAACAACACCACCAACAACAACAACAATAATAATAATGTACTGACTTTGTAGCTACATTAATATTTTTCATATTCAAACAATAAAATTAAATCAACAAGGACACAAAGTTAAAGTAAAAATTAAAATTGAATTCAGGTAGAGACAAATAAAGCTTGTATTTCAAATAATGTAACAACATATGGAAAGAATGAAACCAAGTATCTTTAAGTCAATACTTAACTATACATCACTGGCCTAAAAACAAAAAGAACTGCAAATGAATTTTTGAACTCTTCTATTAGGTCCTTCATAGTGGGGTGATTGAGGTAGTTTGGAGTCATTTACACTTATCAAATAGATGATCAAATCTGTAGGTTCTTTACTGCCAGAGCAACAGAAAGAATTTACAAGTATGGAGGTGGAGAAGACAAGAGAGAACTTAAGAGAGTTCAGCCTAGAATTCTTAGGTAGTAACAACTGTAATGATTCTTTAAACTATACATTACACACAGACACATACACACACGGACACACAGACACACAGACACACACACACACACACACACACACACACACACACACACACACACACACAAGTTCTGCCTGCCAAGGGCCTAGAAACAATGACACTCCCATAGCAATGAACTCGACCTGTACTATATCTTAGCTTTTAAAAAGCACTCCCCACTAAAAGGAACCAAGGCTGCTTGCAGAAATGGCTGACTGAGAGAAATGGGACAGTACAAGAAGAGTCCAGAGCGTCTTTGTTGTTCTGGAAAGTAAGAAGTGCTCTTCAAAGAAATGGAAACAAATGTATCAAAAGGAACTACATCTCACCAAACCTGGGGCAATGTGTGCATCATTATGGATGATAGAATGGAAAAGAGATCACTGAATAAAATAATCTACTAGCCTATACAATAACAATACACAAATAAAATGAGCTTAATGTAGAATGCATCCTTCTAGCAACTCTCACCTAATAATAAAGGAAGAAGGAGATGGTGTTAAAAAAGAATCACCATGTAGCCACCACCATGGCAACCCTTGACCCAAGCTAATCATCAATGGAAGCTAAAATGCTTGGGTAAAAGTTCAAAGAGAAATGGACTATCTATACAGTTACAAAGTGCTCCCATCAATTATTCATTTCTTACCGAGCGAAATGTTATAACTTACAGTGGAGAAACCTGAAAGATATCAGCAAAGCCCATCAAAGTTAATATCACCAAAAATGAGAAACTGATACTTCATGCTTCCTTCATGTGACATCATGAGAACAAAACACTTGAGACAGCATGAGAACAAAACAGCCTTCTTGCCAAAAGTGCATAACTCATCTCAGCTAGTCAGAAATCTCATCATGAGTAAACAGAAAATCCAAAGAATGTGGGGACTAGCCTGAATTTCTCAAGTACATGAATGTCATAAAGGATAGAGTGAGGAAGGGCCCCAGATTAAAAGAAACCAAAGAGAGATGACCATTAAAGATAGTGGGGTGGAGGAGGCTTGCGTGGATCTAGTTCAGTGGCAGAGGGTTTGCTGAGCATGTGAAAGGCACTGGGTTCAAACCCAACACTGTGGGATTAAAATGCAACATGGGGGCAAGATTTTGAATCAGGGTGAGGAATAAAACGGTCATAAATTGAATCAATTATAAAAATATGAATGCAGACTGTGTATTAAATAGCAGTATATTAGATTATACAATTTCTGGCTTTGATAATTATACATAAGAGAATGTTTTTATCCTGAAGAACAACACGGAGTAGCTTGGGGAAAGGAGATATGACACGGTTGATACATCTTCATAGATTCAGAAACCTAATATGTGTATAAGAGAGCAAAAATAAAGCAGGGCAAAATGTTAACAAGTGATGAAGCTAGATGAAGGGTATACGGGAATTCTCTGTTACAGTCTTGAAAAAAATCATTTAAAAATTATGTAGTAACATTATTAAAATAACAGCACAAGCCAAGTGTGGTGGCATGCACCTACAGTTCCACCTATTCAGAAGCCTGAGGCCAGCAGACTGCTTGAAACCAGCAGATTGCATGAGTCCTGTCTGGGCAACACAGCATGACACTGTCTTGAAAGAGAGGAAGGAGAGAAGAGATTGGGAGTGGGGGTAAGAGAGGAAAAAGAAAAATATCTAGCATATAGCAAAGATTTTAAGATTTTCTTTCATCCTTTCTATTGTCATTCCTGGCCCTTGAATATGTTTTTAACTGTTTTGTTCTGTTTTGTTTTTGCTAACATTTAAAACTCACGAGTACACACGCACCCCATCTTTTCTAGATCATTCAGAACCATGCCAGTGCTGAGGGCAGCACCATGCACCTCACTAGTCCGGCCCCTGAGGCATCTGACCCAGACCTGTGGCTTGGCACAGTGCAGACCAGAAGCCACAATACAAGCAGCCAGGGTCTTCTACTGTCACCCTGCCAAGGGAGAGGCGAGAGGGGTAAAGGAGGCCAATGCATCACTTCCGTTCAGGTCCACCCAGGAAGTCCCAGGTCAATTACTGATTGTCTCAGGATCCACCAGCCCGCCCCACTTACCACGGAGGAACAGCTTCTCCAACCTCTCCAACAGCTCTGCACACTGACTCAGCTGCTCCTGGAAACCTGCAGCCACACAGTCATCCACATCACTGGCCAGCAGCAGCTCTGCAAATGCCGTAATCATGGTGTCCATGTGTTGACGGTAAATGACACAGAGGCCATGGCCATCCTTAATCTGTTGCCGGTGAAGGGAGAGCTCCCTGGCTTGGGACTGAACCAATGAATCATATCTGATAAAAGGGAGGAAGAAAATGCTTGTGTCATTGTAGAATTGAATTTTTGCAACCTTAATGCTACTTAAAAAAATGACAGTAAAATTTTTTTACCTGCAGCTATACAAGCAGTTTTAGAAAAACTGAAACTGTACAAGGCCATTCCTTCCTCAAGATTAGAGTCAACAAGTCAGAATACAGACTCTTCTGCAATAGTTTCAACCTTATAAAGCCCCCAATCAAAGTACAGATTGTCAAGGACACAAGAGAATAACTAGCTGTATTCTGACACTTGGTAGAAACAAGTATCCAAAGAATCCAGGCACCCACCAAAAACCCTCACGAAGTTCAGAAAAGAAAGAAAGTATAAAATAGGACTATCTCCTCCCAAATGAAAGGTCAGAGAATAATCATACTCCCAGTCACCACCTGCAGAGTACACAAGATCTGTCAGTCACTGAAGGAGGTATTTTATATAAGTTATCTGATTCTCTCAGTCTTCTAACAAATGCTTTAATGCCTCCTTTTATTGGAAACAAAAGTGATCACAAAGTTACATAGTGTGAAGATCTGAGTTTCAAACACAATTCTGCAAAGCTTGATTATGCAATACTGCCTTGTTACCACCGGGAGTGTTAGCAGTACTGCCCTGTTGTCTATTTGGGCCTAGGAGTGTCAGCCAGAACTGAGAAAGCCGCTGGTTGAGGGCTCATGTCAACTGTGGCCACAGTTACTCTCTGGAGTAACCTGACTCCAGAGAGACTTGACTGACCCTTCAGCTCCCCATGTTCCTTTTCCCTGAAATGACACCAGTATGCCGACCTGGTGAGCACCTGTGACACTAAGAATACACATACTGATCCTGTGATGCCAGTGCCAGAAGAGATGCTGGTTTACTGAAGGAGGAGGAGCATGGGTACTAAAGTGGGTCGAAATGGGCACAAACCTCAGAGCAGCTCTGACAGCCCTCGGAATACTCACAGGCAAGTCACAGCAACCAATGTGAGGCTCCTTATCTATAGAAATGACATGAGAACACCTCAAGCTCAGGATTTGGAGGATTAAACAAGAAAAGTTCTGTTGACTGGGCCTGACACAACAACCCATCAGTAAGCACAAGCTTTCTTCAATCTCCCTGCTTGAGAAGTCTTGAAAAATTCACTGTGGCTCCTTACAACTCAGAATAATGTGCTGTCTCAAATTAGTGACGAATGAAGGTTAACTTTACAAATGACCCCATTTTTGCCATATCTCACAAAGCAAAACTGTATGTATTTATATCCATAAATACTCATAAGGCATTATCTTCATGACCTAAGAATTCTCTTTCAACACAGCCTTATTTCTCTAAGATGACCTGAAAGGGTAAAGATATGAAAAATATTTATATTCCTCCCACTCTGCCTAGGACATCAGTTTTCATCCCACAGTGCAGCAAAAGCCAACAACAGAGTCCAAGAATAAACGCTGCAATAAAGCGGATGCACTGCGATTCACCCAGTGACTGGTATAAACCTTTACCCCAGACCGCAGCCAGAGAAGGCAAAAGCTGCCTTGCCAATTTCAGAGGGCACTCAACTCACAGCTGACTTGCCATGTGTGGAGGCATTATGCTTTGTGGCTTCGTGTTTCATTGTTCCAAAGGTCTGGCCCCCTGATCCCCACCACAAAGCCTGCCGCAAGGCTGTGATACTGTGACACCGCACCCTACACAGGGCAGCAACCCCTTGTAAATCACAAGCCCTACCTAGAGGCAACCTTACACATGGGAGAAGGCAAAAGTGGGGCGTACCTTGAAGGTGAGAGATCTCTGAACTTATTCTGCAGGTTGTGGATTTCACTGAAGAGTTCCAGGTTCAAATTCTGCTCCTTCTGCAGTTCATGCTCCTGTTCCACCAGCTGCTGTTTGAGGCTTTCCAGCACCTTGCCATCAATCATTTCCGGGGACAATGGATGGAGGATTTGCATATGTTTCACATACCGTACTTGGTGCAAACTTGAAAAGGGCCTTTCTTCCTCATCAGTGCTACTTTTGGGCTTGTTCGAACCATCCTGGGCCCCTTCTGTCCCACACATAACTGTAATAATGGCCTCACTGCACTGAGAGTGCTTGTGAAGCTGAGATACAAATTTCTGGTAGGTGTCCAGCTGAGTTTCCAAGTCATGGATTTTCTGTTGTAAGCATTCTATATCATTTGAGGTGTTAATGTTCTCAGGTTCTTCAGTCCAAATCACATTGTCTCTAACAGAAAGCGGACTCTTGGAACTCAAGTTAGTAGATACTGAAGTTGAGTCCAGCAAATCTTCAGGATTCTCTCTGCATGCCGGTAATATGGCAAGGTTATCAGCTGGGAAAACTTTAGAGTCTGAAAATGAAATATGTTTACGTGAGTATCTCCTTTACTACTACTCACCCTGCCTTCCTACATCACTGCAACAACTGAGCCAACACTACTGCAAAAACCACCTATAAGCCTCACTGCCTCTAGTGTTTTAGTGTTTCCTGTTATGGTTTAAGTCTTAAATATCCCTAAAAGGCCAGCTTAATGGTGCTCCTGGAAGCAGCACAACCTGCAAGAGACAGGGCCTAGTGGAAAGAGGCTAAGTTCTCAGAGGTGCCTTCATGAAGCAGAGATTGTGCCCATGAAAGGAAGATGACAACCCTGGCCCCTCATCCTCTGACTACCTCTCAGGCACCAAGAAGTGAGCAGCTGTGCTCCACTAGGCACTCTTCTCCAGGACGTTCTGCCTTGCCACAGGTCCAAAGTGACAGAGCCAGGCAACTAGTTGATTTTCTCAGGTTATTTTGTCATGGCAATAGAAACCTAGCTAGCCTGCCTTCTTATCTCTCAATCTATTATCCTCAGCAAAATTTTCAAAAGAGTGAGTTAATCAAAGCAAACCAGCAATAGACCTGCTGCCTGCTTCTTAACTGAGATCTTCCACGATCTAGTTCTGGCCTCCTTTCAAGAAATATCCCCTGATACCACCTGTGAAGATTTCCCACAAATTAACCACATTTCCCAGCATACACCATGCTTTTTTGTGCCTCCATACTTTTGGATGTGCTGGGGCCTCTCTGCCTGGGAAACCCTTAATTCTCTTATTCTCCTTGCTCTAAGAACTCCTATTTGTCCTCCAGATCTAAACTATCTTGGTTTGCAACCCCATTTCCAAACTATGCAAAACTCTTTTCTCTCTGTGCTTCCATAGCTCTTTATACATTCTGTGTACACTATCCCAAAAACATACTGTGGTCTGGAGCCAATGCAGTAACTACAGTTGGCTTATGTTTATTTATTTACATAGCAATTAGTTGTTTGGATGCCTCTGTCTCCCACTGGACTGCACACTGCTTTACAGCAGGAATGTGGCCCTCTATCCTCACGTTCTCAGGGTCTAGTACAGCACCTCACACAGATCAGAAGTCAGTGACAGTTGGAGGAATACTGAAGGTCTCATGAAGCAACATTAAAGAGCAGTCATTCTCAGTGTCCACAACAGGAGGTATGCTCATTTCCAAACCTACTAGTACCTAGGAGATGTCATGATGGCTCCTTTGTGAGTGTTTTCATTAACTCACAAGCCTGTCAAGCAACATTTTCTGATACCAAGCTTAAATCTCCAGAGAGACAGCCCAACTTATTTAAAATGTGAATGGATGGATCAGAGAGAAAACAAAGCAGTAAGATCACAACTAAATTTGCTACTTGCTGGCTGCATGGCCTTAAGCAAGTAACTTAGTTTCTCAAAGCCTCAGTTTAGCCTGCAGGGAAAATAAGAGAAGCGATGCCTAATACAGGCTTCAGGCTCAAGCCTGACTACACAACTTCTACCCTTCAGCCCTATAGCCTGTTTCTCAGAGAAACTTAACTCCACGTAAGGAGCTGTTCAAATACTTAAAGAGGCAGCAGAATAGAGTGGAGAAAATCAATTATGAAATCCAACAGACTTGAGTTTCAAACATGGAATTTACTATTTACCAGTTGTATGACCTCAGTTATTTAGATGAAGTGGTTAACCTCTCTGAGTCTCAGTAACTTCATCTATAAAATGGATGAAGGGTCACCATTCACTGTGAAAAGCTGTATCTGTTTTGTTTTATAGGATTTAATAAAACACTATCTGCAAAACGGGGGCAGGAGGCTTACACAGCATCTGACACATAGCAGTGAAGGAAGCTAACTAACATGAATATGCTCTTTGTTTCTACAGAACCATTCAGTGATGGCAGGAGACACCCATCACTGGAAACATCAAGTAAATGCTGCAGAAGCAACAATACAGAAAGGACCAGGTGACCTAGGAGATCTAGCAAAACCACACAACCATCCCATAAAACTGCATGCTCCAGTGTCTGGTTCTGCAATCTGTTCCTCATGACTTTAGAGCTACTCTTATCTCTGCTCATGAGGCAAATACCATAAAATAACCCTTTTTGGTTTTGACAGTTGCTGCCACATGACCTAAAGGAAGCATTCCTAATACAGCATTCTTACTGCATACTATGTTAGGATCACTATTCTGTGCAGTTCTGTACAGGAAAGACCATGTGATTCATCTGTTAGTCCAGCATCTGGCACAGGGTCTGTGGTGGTTCATTTTGACTATCAACTTCATTGACTTGAGAGACAGCTGGAGATTAGTAGGACACATTCTGGGCATGTCTGGTTGGGTCAGGGGAGCAGGATCAAGGGGAGTACATCTAGTCCCTGGCCCCTTCATCTCTAGCTCCTCCCTCTTCTCTGCTTCCTGGACAACATGGGTTGAGCAGCTTTCCTCCACCCGCCCTCTGCCACAATGATTTTGCTTTGGAGTCAGCCAATCACAGACTGAGAGCATAAGCCAAAATAAACATTTAGTCCTTTAAACTGTATATGTCAGACATTTTGTTAAAAAAAAAAAAAAAAAAAGACCACCAATATAAGACCAGTGACAGAAAGGTAATCAGTAAATCTGGCAGAAAGAGAGAGAGAGAGAGAGAGAGAGAGAGAGAGAGAGAGAGAGAGAGAGAGTCTCAACAAGGCTTTGCTCCAATGAATCACTCTTCAGTGTTAGAAAATATTTTTGCTGTAACCACCTCAGAGAAATGGAATTTGGTCTTTATTTCATGACAAGAAGCAATGTTTACTTCTTAACCAAAGGTTAGTTCCAATGAATTCCATTAACTAATCATAAGGTAAAGATAAATATAAGTCCTATACAAATGTCCATTTCTGATACAGACTGTAGTCAGTTGTGATTAGACACACAGAGAAACATCCCCAGATAATGCCGGAGCGAGGGGGTGCACTCTCACAGGAACACTTAGGCCAGCATTTTTAACTCTTTCTCTGAAAATGCAAGAAACGTAACATCAGACATATCCCACTGATAGTTTTGACCTTAGAAACAGTCCCAAAAGTCCAAAATCTATAGTAATTTGATTTAGCAGCTGTTAGGATTTGGCTTTTAAGCTTCTCACAGCCAGCATGGCAATGTGGCACTGCCAGCCACTGCTGAGGAACCTTTGATAAAGATGCAAAGGTGCTGCTCCCACTGTTTGGTTCAGAACCACTTCGTAGAGCAGGGGAAACGGGGGACTATAGATTGTAGGATAAGAAGTCACCCCAACCTCTGTATTGATTTAATTCTCCACACCTTGTTACATCCCCAAGTAACAGGGAGTTCTCTGAAGGTAGAGACGGCAATTAATTCATCTCTCTCTTTTCTCTCTTCCACCTTGTGTGTGAGGCTGGGGACACAGCAGGCCTAACTGACAGCCCAGGACATGTAAGTATGTGCCAGGACCTGCCCTACGCACCTATCACCTCACCTCTGTTGTCTACTTAGGGCAACCCTAGGGGATGCTGATAGTATTACCCATTTTACAGAAGAGGAAGTTAAGGTTTTCAGAGATGGCTAATTTGACCAAGGTTCCGGGTAAGAGAACAGCAGGACCCTTCATCAAAACATGGTGCTGCCTGCTTCAACACATTGAGTGCTGCCTCCTGACCAGCACTCTCACCGAGAGCTCAGTGAGCGCCACATATGAAGGCCAGTGATGGCTGTGTGGTCCCTTCGGTCACTTCCCAAGTGCCTACCAATGGGCTCCTGAAGAAGTGAAGGCATCACCCACAGCACCCACCCAAGGAGGGCAGTTACTAAGCAAGTCGAGTCAACTCAGTGCCAAAGGATGCTGAGAAAGGAAAGGGGCAAACAGGATTCTCAGGTACTGGGGACTCAGGAAATCTAGGTGGGGAGCTACACAATGAGGCGTCCCTACGCCACATTCAAGAAGGAGCGCAGGCAGCGGTAACACCATGTACAAAGATCTAGATGCCCATTCGGAAAAACACAAGTTCAGCAATGAGGTTGGGCTAAGTGGGAAGGAGCAACCATCAGAAAGTCTCTGTTAATCACTAACTATGAGTAAGAAGTCCAAAGAGGTCCCAAGGGCCACCTGTTTAGATCATAAAAACATACCACAGTTCTAAAACTTCCCACAATTGACTAAGGGGTCCCTCACTGCACAGAAGAGCTGCTTTCTCTTCAAAGCCCAGTAGACCCAGACCATGGAGCCATGCATGCACTGCATGACTTCCAGCCTCAGGAAGGTGCACACCAGTGGGATGGCGCCCAGAGCTCAGTCTTTCTCTAGAGCCGGTTATTCATTCCCATGGCCATCCTGCAACACACTCAGGATTCCCAGTGACCTTTATTTCATGCAGAGTGAATCAGATTCAGAATAACAGTGACTATTTTTTTAATAAAGGGTTAAAAAAAGCTCTAAGGTAAAAAGGAAATGTAAGCATTTGCTCATTCTAATTGATTGGTAACGTGTATCTGCTCTGTTATCCTGTGTGTATCTGTATGTTTATAATACTTCATAATGAAAAAGGAGGGAGCAAATATACCTTGCTATAGGCCCCTATCACATCCCTGCACCTTCTCCACTGACCCATTGACAAACACCACACACATGGCCTCAGTGGCGGGCTATCTTGTGACTCTCTCCCGCAGGGCAGGTAGAGACCAACCTTGTGCCCACCTCCACAGCAGCCAGAAGCCTGGATGCTAACAGGATGCTCCTATAGCTGTCTCCCATGAGTTAGGTACCTGAGGAACAGGTACTATGACTTTTTTTTTACCAAACCACTAAAAACTTAGTGCCTGCCTAAAAGAAGGGGCCACCAAACAGACCAATGAGCTCTAAATGACACCACGCTGTGCCTAGACTCCTCTACCTCCTTATCTATGAGGATCCTAGGTCAATCATTTTTAAAAACCTCAGCTTCCCCATGTGTTAGGGGAACAGGATAATGATGCCTTGAGAGAACTACTGTGAGCCTCGTGTTAATTTTGACCTAAGCTATCCAAAATGGCGTGCGGCACCAGAAGGTGTTCAGTGTTCACAGAGATTGAGTTCTGACCAGTCATGTAGCTTGCTTGCTGGTCACTGTTGCTTTCTTTGTCTCTTTGGGCAGAAGGTGTTGCTTCAGTTCCACTCTGCTCTCCTGGGCTGTCCTGGTAAGCTGCTCCCACGAGACACTGAGCTGTAGGCACTGGCAAAGAGAAAGAAAAACAAAACCACAGACTTGAAACTTAGCCAAGCAACTGAAAAGAACACAAAGACACAACAGGGAAAGTAAAAGCACTGGGGAGGCAAAATGCAATTTATAAGATAAAATTAATCTATCAAGCTGCCATAACAGGACATAAAAAGCATAAATATTCACAGCTTGTCTGAAATGGCTTCTTGAGTCAGGTTCTCAAAAAACCATGAGTGAGAAAATGATTTCCATCGACTAGCTCCCATTTTTCCTATGTGAGAGAGGCACTGGGGCCCTCTGGGCAATGGCAGGAGCAGCACCCAGCTGAGGCACCTAGTGTCTCAGCAAGCAGCAGAAATGCTCTGAAGTGCAAGTGGCAGGTGCTGGACTCAGTGCTAGGGTTTCTCTTGGGGCTGAGTCACCTCTACCAAAATCTTTCCTCTCAGAAGCCCCCACCCCACTCCTGCGCTGATTTAATTATCCACAGTAGCCCACACCCTCAACTAGATAGGACCTCTCAGAGGCAGAGACTGCAACTGAGTCCTCTCTGGCTCCTACACCATGTTGTGAGGCTGGGACACAGTGGTTGCTTGGGGATCATTCCCTGAATGCATGAGTAGATGTATGGACGAGACGAAGAAAGGACTGACAGGAGATGGAGGAAGAGCAATTCTGCTGAAAGTTAACTCACCTTGAAGCCTCAACTATGATAAACCCAAGAGAGAACCTAAAATTAAATGGAATTTACCTCTGTCTACAGATCATCATAACATCAACATGAGAAATATCATACACTAGGCTTTGTAAAGCAAGAAAGAATGCAGGCTCCAAAACCAGGCAGGCTGGTTCACAAGCAGCTCTGGAAGTTAGGACCAGTGTGACTATAACCAAGTCACTTTATCTCTGAAACTGCTCCCTCAACTGAAGACGGACACAATTACCAAACAATCAGAGGACTGGTCTTTAACAATTATTTTGTGTCTTTAACACCTATGGCAGGGATTAATAAATAAAAAGTGCTTGTTGTATTAATACTACAAGAAGTCCAAGGCTCTAGCACCATCACCAACCTCTGAAATTTCCTTAACTGGACACACTCTCCCCCAGTAAAGCCCTCTAACTGGCAAATCCCCAGGACCAGCAAGCTCCTCTGTGGATGTCTGTGTCACATCTCATTCTGCATGAATCAAGGGTGTCCCCTGAGAACACTGCTGCTCCTGCAGCCTTCACAGAAGTGGCTATTTATTCCCACATCTCTGAATTTGGAGTCTGGAAATATGCAAGCACCTTTGCTCCTCACTATTACTTCCAGACCATTCTATCTCTTCCCTCAAAACTCCAGCTTTGAACTACATGCTGCTAGACTATTCTCACTGAAGTCATCCACCATCCACCAGCTCACTGGGTCCCTGGAGACTCTGACATTGTGGCTCCTGGCCGTCCTGCTTCTCTATGCCTTTTGCCAGTACAGTTCCTCAGAGGGTTCGGTTCTTGTAATCTCCAGCTTCTCTCCTCCATTCTGTCTGGAACCCATGCCACCAGGCCCCAGCCACTCCATGGAATCAGTTTCTGAAAAGGCCACATTGCCCAAAGGCCAATCTTAAACTCTCTTTTTCCATTAATCCTAGCAGCATGTTACACACCAAGTCATTCTTTGCTTAGCTTCCAAAACAGTACTTTCTCTTGGCATCTTCCCTCACTAGCTACTCTAACCTCTAAAGAGTCCCACTCTCAATTCCCTAAAAGACCACCTAAATGTTTATTACTTTAAATATTAGTGATATGTGGCTATTTCCTAAGTTTCAGCCCAGATCGTTCTTCTTAACTCCAAACTCTACCTCCAACTGCCTCCCTGGCATCTCCACTCGCATGGCCAACAAGTACTTCATTCAGTATGTCCCAAACCAGACATCTAACATCCCCACAGCCTGCCTCTCCTGCAGCCATTCCCACCTCAGTGTATGACAACTCCATTCTTCTAACGGTTCACATCACAAGTGAATCCTTGAACGTAAGAGCCAACCAACTCTTCTTACAGAGACTAGTAATAAATATTTTAAGCTTTGGAGGCCACAGAATCTCTATCATAGTTGTTCAAATCTGTGAGCATACTACAACTACTTTCAGTTAACAGGCAGATAAATAAATGTGGCTGTGTGCCAACAAAACTTTATTTACAAAACAGGCAAGCAAGTTGGATTTGGCCCAAAGACAGAGGTTTGCTCATATGTGCTTCAAGGCTTAAGTCAGATCACATTACTCTGCTGTTACAAATCCTCCAACAATTTCCGATTTTAGACAAGAATGACCTATGGGAGCCTACCCAATTTTCTACCCACCCCTAACCTCATCTTCTACATCTGTCCCCCTTCCTCACTCACACTAGCCACACATTTGGCTTGACGATCAGGAGTCAGCATACACACTTTTATGGATTCATGAACTCTCAGAAAACAATGTAAAATGCTACTATGTAGTTATCCACATAGTTTTGTCAAGGACTCTTAGTGTTCTCCACATTTTCAAAGGGGTGGTGACCCAAAATCTCTAAGCACCATTGTCCTAGACAAAGAGGCCACCATTTGAGGTATTTCTTCCAGTCTCTGATTTCTGCCCCTTCAGGTGCATTTCAACCCATGAATTCTCTACTTTTCACGACCCCCAAAAGAGCAGAAGCAGTAGATTCAAAGTAGACAGGGAGGTAGCTCATTTCTAGAGAAAAGACATAAATCCAGTAAGGTTTGTACTTAGCCCAGAGATGCCTTGTTCAAAAGAACCCTGCAAAGAGCACTCCCACTTGCATACCTCTGATATCATGTGTCCAAGGCTTCCACAGACACAGCCAGGCCAAAACCTCCGATGGAAGCTGTCCACAACTCAACAGCTGCACATAATCCCAGGTGAAGGCCGCAACAACCCCTCAAGACCTGAGAGCACTAAAAATCCCACAGATCCATATCCCACCATAGAAATGAAACAACAGATTAAGTCTTCCCTTTCTGTGTTCCTTCACTGTGCATTTGTTAAGATTAATTACTACAACACATGAAATCTATACTCAAAACTTATTGCAATTCTAAATGACAAGGTTGACATTTCAGGTAGTTCTATCATGTTGCTCACCTAGCTCATGGCAAAGGCATTTTTCTTGGTGCTTACCATTCAGTAGCGTTTGGTCAGGTGCTGGCATCTCATTCATCAACGCCTCAGTCAGTATTAACTTTTGGCGAAGTTGCTTATTTTGAGTTTTAAACTCCTTCAGCTCCCCCTGCAACTCCAGGATTTGACTCTGTAGATGAGCTACCACCTCCTGGGTAGCAGGAAGATGATACGTGTTTCCTAATGACCGGGACAACTTTTCTGGGATTGGCAAGCGGGACCTCTTAACGTCCTGAAAACACATATATACAACAATGAATACACTTCAAATATACTCTTTGGTTGATCTTATAAAAGTATTACTGATCTTATGAAACAGGTTTCAAATTGACCACCAAGACTGCCGGTTCCTACAATAGCATCTATGTTCAACTTCCTGTTAAGGAGCACCTATCTTGGCAGGTGTCCCTTGTAATTGTCAAGGGTCAACTTCTTGACATCCTCTCAGCCCTGGCCTACTGTCTTTGAACAATTCAGATGTTTCATATTTAGCAGTTCCAACACAATCTTCTGGGAAATATTTTTTCCTCCACTTCTTTTCTTATTTCCCACCTATCCCTCATGTAAGCCAATGTGTCTCCCACCATGTTAGTCCACCAGAACTGCCCTTTTACTTCAGGGGTTCCTGAGTCGCTAGTCCAGGGGATTTCACAACCCATCCATCCTCAACACCTTCATGTGCAATTGGTTATAGGCACTCCAAAGCCAACTAAAAATTCAACACTTCGATGCCATCATGGCACATCCTCGCCCATAAATCTACACTACTTCACTTGGCTGTCTCGGTAAATTACTCAATCATTCACTAGGAGTCATTTTTAAACTTCTATTTGTTCTCATCACTTTCGGCACTAAGCAGAGTGTAATGATTCCAACTCCTAAGTTGTGTCTCAATTCCTTCAACTCTTTTCATCCTACAATTGCCACCACCCAACATGAAGATAGCTGTTAGCTCTCACCTAGGCCACAGTAGGAGTCTCTTTGTTTGGGAATGGATGGAGACAGGAACTCAAGCACTCTGACCTCTCCTACCACAGAGAACATCCTGCCCTAGACATTCATGACACATAACACCTCTCTGCCAGCATTCCAGCCACAGGGTTTAGGCCACATTAATCTTATTCAAAGCACAGAGAGTTCAGGTAACTGATTTCCCAGGGACTCAACATAGGTTAAGTAAAGTCTCTCCTCTTGCCTCTGTAACTAAACAGCCAAGATACTGGGTCTTTGTTTCATCCTCCACCTACATTACATGTGCAGGATATCAGACCTGCAGTGTAAGCCACCACCAAAACCAGAAAAAAAATTATTAAACTTTCCTTTACTTTGCATACACTGGAAACCACATAGGTGACAAGAGGGTTCCAGACTCCCTGAAAAAAGTAGGCTTACCTTATTGCTGTCTGCCTCTAAAACTGGGCAAGCTTATCACCTCCAGCCAAGGCACACTGGATCATTTTCCTGAGCCTTTTAATGTCTGTATTTCCTCATGTGTAAAATGTACATATACTTTACAAAACTCATGGTTGTTGAGAAGATTAAATGAGATGGTATAGAGAGAACTGAGCAAATCTCTGATATACATAGTAGATAATAAAAATTTTAAAGCACAATTTCTCTTCTAAAACACAAGCAAGACAGATAATTTCAAGCACAAATATTTAATATATTTGGGAAAATTAAATCCATTCAATTATCCAATTTTCCTGAACAGAAAATGACATCTCATACACAATAGAAAAAAAAAAAAGCAAACAAAAACACAAACCAAAAAAAAAAACTACCTAGTTTTCCTAGTAGACAGGTACTGACTGAAGTAGCTGGGGCAGATGAGAGCACTTTCATTCTAGCCAAATTGCACAAATTTGCATTTTGAGTACCATTAATATAATAGCAGTATATATATATATTTTTAGGTCTCTACAGATATCTTTAGAAAACCCTTTTCTGGAAATTACAGTTTTGGTGCATAATTTAAAACAATCAAAAGCAATTTTGCTAATGATATATCTAACGCTCTTTGGTATGCACAAAAGCAGTAATTTAGTGGTCAGAAAATAAACATAATTCTCCATTCTGATGCTATGAAGCAGTGTGTACAGTTGATTTCTCAGGTAAAAAACAGCCATCAGAGACAAGAATCCAATGGTCTATATTGGAACTCTATTAGAAACACAACCTACCTCTTCCTTAGCAGAACACATCTCCCAGCCACAGGGATTCTCGACCCAACCTCTACTCTCAAAAGGATTGTAGTGAAGACCCAATCAATCACTGGCAAGAAGGCCTGGTTTTTAACAATCCTGCAAATTTGATTACATTTGCAGAGATACTTCAAGAGAATACTGTACCATTTTGGATTACCATGACTGAGAGGTAAGCTTGACCAAGGGGAAAGTGTCAGATACACTGGGAGCCCCAGTCCAAGCCCTTAACTGTTTATACTCTAAAGTCATTACAATTTTATTTCAATCTGCTAAAGGAAAGGTTCATCAGCAGGTGAAAACTGTATTTTTGCACATTTTCACACTGAAATCTTATGTAGCCAGTATAAAGAAAAATGTCTCCAATACATAATATGAAAGAGAAAGCTACAGAAAGATATATAAACATAAGCCCATATATGATTTTCCCAAGGAAAATATGAAAATATCCTGACATAGACAAACAAGACAGGGTTGGGGCTAGGAAGAGAGACAGAAGATGGGAGCAAGGAGAGAGGGAGGGAGGAGGAAAGCTGGAAGCACACACACCTCTGGGTGGAGGCCAAGAGCAGTGCAGGCAGAGAAACACCAGACTTCTTCTTTATATAAAAGGAAAAATATGGTGGCAATGCACGCAATATACAAACTTACTTTGTTGGCCACACTGGGGCAAGGAAAGGGAGTGGCCTGCTGTTCTGGCATCCTGCATTCGTTCCCTGGCTCGGCACCAAACATGGCATCTGTTGGCTTCTCTTCCCAAGCTTCTCTCTTTCCATCACATTCGGGTAGCTTGAGCAGGTAGCTTTCCACAGGCACAGTCTGCACTGAGGCATTTTTCAGCTCCACCTTGGCCACTTCACTCATATTTATTGGCTGGGCTTCCACTGACTTCAGTTCACCATGGGGCCTGGTGAATGAGTTGGCTTGGACCAAATGTCCAAGTTCATCTCTCAGCTGAATGGCCATTTTCTTAAGTGTCTTCTCAGTTTGACCATCAAGGTGTTCTTCAGGAACTCCCTGCTCTGCTAAGCATATTTGTTCCAGAAGCAGTTCATGTAGTGCTTTCAGAAGGTCTGGCCTGTTTTTCCAAAGAGTAAGAAGCAAGAGAAATAAACACATCCTTCATCCACTTCCCAAGTTGTCCCCACCAACTTTTGTCCAGATTCTGCCTAGCTAAATATAGTCCCCACTGTATGCCAGGAACTACACCAAGCATTTTATCCCATGTAACCTCACAACACCCAAGCAAGGCAGTTACTACCATGTCTATTCCATGGATAAGAGCAGCATTTGGCACAAGGTACACAGCAAGTGAGTGGGCCACATGGATAGTGAGTGCAGGCTGGGCCTACGGAGGAACAAGTGGGACTATAAGCTGTCAAGACATCAGAGTGCCCAACTCCAACCCAAGACACTGGCTTCATTCAAATATCCAAGGGCAAATGTAGCTTTGAATGTATCTCACCAATGTGTCTGGTTCATGGGTAACCTGATCTATTCTGGTGCATAGTGGGTGTTCAATAAATAAATGAAGAGATGTTTCATTAACATGCATACAGGTAGATCAGAAGGCACACTGGCTTTGAAGGCTGATAAAAATGCCTTCGGGGGTAGGGATTCCTGGCATGAACAAGGCCACAGATCCAATAACCAGCGTACAAAAAATAAGAAAGTAAGCTAAAATGACCTCAAATTCTAACTCTGAGTTTCTCTGAAAAAAAGGTAAGTCTTCTTCCATAGGAGAACTACAAGGACTAAACAAGATAGTGTCTGGGTGGCAGTTACTTTTTATGTCCCTTGTCACACATCCTTGGCTCCTCTCTGACTTCCGCTACAGCTGTGGGACAGCTCCTACAGACACAGCCAGTCCCATCTGGAGCACCTCTGCACGTTATTGCCTGGGTTCTTTCTAAAGCTTTCTGAGCCAGCCAGCCAGGGAGTGTGGAAGTGGGGTCAGCTGATACCTCTGGGGAACTCTCAATCAGTGGGGAAGAGATCTGTGGGGAAAATTTCAGGCTCTACCCTTCAGGGGACAACAGAGGCACAGGCTATTTTGCCCCTAAAAGGGTGCTCAGCAGGATGGGGCCCCAGCTGCCTAGAGCATTTACCAGATAAACATTGTACTCTTACTGGCTTGGTTTTCACTGTCTCACTCTCCCTGAGCTCCCTCTGGCACTCCTGCTCCCTGGTGCCACATTCCAAATTAATCACTTGTACCCACATCTGTATCTCAGCCTCTGCTTTCCAAAGAAACAAAAGTAGGCCAGCATGTAAAACACGCAGAATAATGCCAGTGATTTAAGACAACTCTTTTGTGAATGTGTTTGTTATGCCAGGCACTGTAGGGGTAACCAGGGATACAAAATTGCCAGCAAGGAATTAGACTTCTGTGAGAGCCAGCGTGTACACAGATCACCACTCCACAATGTGACAAGGGAAACAGAGGCAGTGTGGAAGTTTGGTAGGGTTACAGGTCAACTATCCCAATGACCAGACTACAGGTGAAAGAAACATGTCAGACAGAAGGGAGCTTCTGTAGTTGAGGAGAGGTTGGCAGGGGATCAGTGCAAAACAATCTGAGCACTGACAATGACATGAACAGTTACCACAGTGCAGTGAATAAAGAGGTAAGACCGGAAAGCCAGGCTGGGGAGACATGAAGGGTCTGGCATGTCACATAAAGGAAAGGAGGGCCCTAAAAGGCTGTGCTCCAGAAAGGTAGAGGGACTGCCTACCACTTTGAAGGTGGTGTGAGCACACATAGGAACTCCTTCCACTCTGTTCTGGTCACAGAAATGACAGTAAAAATCCATGAAAGAAATCATTTCAAGGTGCCACCAGTGGGCTCATACTCAAAATAAAGCTACCAACAGATCAGACACAGAAGAAATAGCCCTGAGAAGAGAGTCAGACTGGGGGCCTTTGCAGAAAGCAGTGAAGCCAGAAGTTCAACTCCCAGGGTAGAAGAGGAGCCACAAAAATGTCACTGACCCTTATTAAGAAGCCCAGCTGAGATAACTTCAAGGCCACCACACAAGGAGAATATAGGTGAGATCTATTAGTACAAGCAAACCGAATTTGCACAGAAAATCCAACAAAAAGGGTAACAATTCCATAAAGAAAATAGAACTCACAGAAGAAGACTTAAAAATAAGAATGTTTTTTATCACCCACAAAATAAAGGAAGGAAATGTATTCAAAATAAATGAAGAAGTGAAGAAACCAAGATAGAGAATTGGTGGGGGAGGAATGGGGCAGGCTGCAGGCAGGGCCAGCTAGAAGGCCACTTGTATTCCAGGAAAGGGATGGTGCGGGTCAGGGTGAGGCCATGCAACCTGCAGGAGAAGGCAGGATGGCCACACGATCTTAATTCCTTTTCCTCTCCTTGCATTTCCTTCTTCCTGCCTTGCTTCAAGAAATCTTTTGAGACAGAACAGACACTATAGTTCCTGTAACATACCCTGGCCCTCTCTCCCCCTGATCTTTGCTACTCTTGGAAGTAGCAGGCATCTTGATTCATCTGCCCCACTGCATCCTCTGAGGGCAAGAAAACAGCCCTCCTCACAGCCTGATTCCTATGCCACAGATCAGGGGCAGGGGCAATCTGCATCATCAGGAAACAAGACCAAAGAAACAAAAAACAAAACTAAGATGTGTGATACCTTGCTCACTTCTATCATGGTATCATCCAGAGTATGAAAACCATCTTAAAACTACCAAAAACCAAAACTTTAAAAATGCTTCTGTATTACAAGAATCAGGAGATATTAACCTAAATTTTCCTTTCCCCTCCTTCTTTAACATAGATGAGAAAGGACAAGTGCTATTTCAGTTAGTCAAAGGAGAATTCCTCACACCAAACAACACACAATAGAACCCAAGAAAAACACTTTACAAATGGGGTAGAAGGTGGGAAAAGAGGCCATTATAATACGCTAAAGCAGAGGTGTTATTAAGTTAAACATTTCAAGTGTTACTTTCATGGAAATCTAATAGCAGATTCATTAAGCTATCACTGTAACCAGGACCTTTGGAATGGTTCAGTCCAAGGGTCCTATCAGAGACCCAAAAAGTGTTTACATGCCCTTTCCTGAGCATCTGTGCCACACAGAAGGTGTAAAGAAAAGCACTGACATTTATTAAGCACTTACAATGTGCCTCATCCTTTAAATACACTGAATCCTCAACTCAGACTGTGAGAGGGGAACTATTATTAACCTCACTCTACAGGTAGAAAAAATGTGCTCACAAGATTCAGGATCCCTCAGAAAAATGACTGAGCAAAGATTAGAACCCAAACCCTTCTGATGTCAAAAGCAGAACCAATTCTTCCCTGCTTTCTAAACTTCTGCTACCAGGGTGAGCTATTAATTGTCCGCATGTTCATTCACATATTTATTGAGTACTTTCAATGTGAGACATAAAGCAGTGGCTATGCATGGTAAAAAAGAATTGTGGAGCTTACATTCTGTTTAGAAGACAGACACAGTCATATAGATACTGATAACTACAGTAATAAAGTACCTCAATGTAAAGTAATGATAAGTAATATGAGCAGGAGGTAGGGAAGGAGGAAGGAATAAATCCAGAGACAAAGCATCAAATAAGATTCTGTTTTGGGCTGGGGATTCAGCTCAGTGGCATAAGTGCCTGCCAGGCAAGTGTGAGGTTATGAGTTCAATCTCCGGTGCCACAAAAAAAAAAAAAAAAAAAAAAAAGATTCTGTTTAGATGGAGTGGGCCTCTCTACAAAGTTGTTATGCAGCAGAGGCACCATTGGTCATATACATGTGGCTAAAGTACATTCCAGGTAAAGTGAATAGCTATTTCAAATCCCACTGGTGAGAACAAGCTTGGATTATGCAGAACAAAAAGGTCAGTGTAGCTGAGGTCCAGTGAACAGGAGAGGGGGCTGATGAAGACAGAAAAATGGTAGGGGTTGGGTCAAGAAATTCTCATCTTGGCTGTGGCTCCTCCAGGGGGAGAACCACCAGTGTCTCCTGAGATCCACGCCATGTTGGAACTTAGGACGCTGGGAAACCAAGCAAGCAGCTCCCCTCCCTGGTAAGCAATAGGGAGCCTACTGGCCCACAGGCTGAGAGTCAAACATCCCACTTCCCCTGCCCCCATTAGCAAATGGGAACCAGAGATCTGAGAATGTCTTGGGAGTTTGACCATATGCAATATAGCAAATTAGGGGGATTTCCTTCTATCATCTCTTTGAAGGCAAAATTTTTATTACTGTTTTGCTTTATTCTGATTAATGGTACTGCTCTGTTTTGATAAGTTCTATAATGTTCTGTATTTCATTTTGATATACGTGATTGAAAGAACAACTATTGTAAAGATAACGAGATATAGTGTAATACCTATTACACTGTTACACTATTATCCCAGTAACCTGCTGTGAAGTTCTGTACCAATTTCATTACACTGTCTCAGTTGGCTATTCTGTCTTGTTTTGTTGTATTTTACTACCTTCAAAATAAAAAATTAAAAAAAAAAAAAGAAATTCCCATCTTACTTGGTCAACACTAGGAAGTCATTGGAGGGTTTTAAGGATGCAAGAGACATGATCTGATCTAAATTTTAAAAAGATCATTCTGGGGGCTGGAGGTATATAGCTCACTGGTAGAAAAACTTCCTTGTTTGCACAAGATCTTTGTTTTGATCCCTTGTATCTCAAATAAATAAATAGATCACTTTGGTAACCTTGGAGAATGGAGGGGCAGAAATGGAAGCAGGGAGACAATTAAGGAGGATGCACTATTGGAGGAGTCAGGCAAGAGGTGACAGCAGTTTGCACCAAGCACCGAGAAGTGAAGTGGTTGCATCAGTAATAGATCTTGGAGGTGGAATCAATAGGATTTGCTAATGGACATAGGAACTGAGGAAATTACACTTTTGGTAACAGTATTTAGATAGACAGAAATGCTATTAATACACGAGGCAGAATGGGGGGAATCAGATTAGAACAAGGAGTTGGATTTTGATCAATTCATGGTAAAATGTCTACTAAACATGCAGGTGGAGATGCCCAGGGCAAAGCTGGCTATGCGACCTAGAGGACAGGTCTGGA